CTTCCACGGACAAATGTCTTAGATGTACGCGTAAAACCATTCTCTCATTGGCATTGTAAATGCAATCGTTCTCCAATCCCTGAATTTGAATTTCTAATAAATCCACGTCTTTGTCGCAGAATTTGAGAACGAGTGCGCTAAGCCTCGCAGAATAATTTAGTTTAATTGCGCCTAAGAGAGGACAAAGCGATACAAAAATTTGAAAACGAACGACATTTACTTTACTTTTATCGAACCGTACCAGGAGGAATCGGTGGATCGTCCTCTTTCGTTTTCCACTGTACAATGTTATGGAATACCTTTCCCCCGAAATTGAAAAGATCATTGTCTTCGACAATCCTGAAAAAAAAATCAATACTTGTCATCGAAACAAATCACGTTTATCAAGTATCGAATACTTACTCGGTCAAGTTGTACCAATATTCTTTTATTTTCAATAGCGCGGGCCTGTGAAAATTGACGTTAATGTTCAATATGTTTACGATGAGAGATCGCTCGATGCTTTTGAAGTGGGATTTAAAATCTGGACAATTCGATTTCACCTGAGGAAATGTTCGTTTAGAAAAATTTGACGCAAAGATAATAATTCTAAGTCTTCTGTAAAGTACCTTACGGTATGACATAACAAAAACTTCGTGCGGCTCTTCGGTAGATATTAATTCCAAGTACGATCCTGTTACTCCGGCATTTGTTTTGTCTACCAAAAGAACGGATCCCACGCCAAATTGTATAGCAGGGCCATACTGCATTATCGCAGTTTCAAGATACAATGCGTGTAACCTCAAGTTTAAATAAGGCTCTTCTCTTCCATGATTTATGCTTACCAAGTGAACCGATAACTAAACGTTTGATCACATTATTAGAATATTGTGAAATTATTTTATAACAATTATATAAGATTAAATAGAGCATATTGATATACAAAGCACCTCTCCAATGGCAAATCTCAATAGTAAATTAATATGGTTGCACGGGGAAATATTATCGTCGAATCCAGATAAATTAATAGTCTTTGAAAGTAATTCCAAGTCTTCTTCACTGACCTCGGAAGATACGACGCTCCTGGTGCGTAAAATAAGTTTCAAATATTTTATATGTTTATGACCGGCTAAGTATTTGGTGACTCGGTAAAATATTATAAAATATATCTCGTACGTTAGTATTTAATCTTACTTCGTTACCTATCGAGTTTCTGTTTCTGCACGTTATTCGTCAAAAGTTCCTTCGTAACATGCGTAAATTTATTTTGCAGCGTTCCAACCGAAAGCAGACATACGCCGCGTTGCACATTTTTCAGTTCTTTCATCGACACGATGTTCCTATACAAATTCTTCTTGGAAACATACCGTTCTAAATCGTTATCGTATTTTTCAACATTTTGTTGATACGTCAACAATAATGAATTCAAGAAATGAATGATCAACTGTATCTTGTTTTCCGATAAATTGAATTTTATACTCGAAATCGAGACGTTCACTTTAGTTCTAAAAATTTCAAAGAAAAATTGCAATAAATTTGATTCCATGTTAATTGAAAATAATAAAAATACCTTGGTAGTTGATGGTATTCCGGCTTTATACTGTATGAGATAGTTGTGTTTGCCTGTATCTTTGGTATAAAATGGTGTTCGGAATCCTTTCTTTGCCTAGCTGATCTCCAATCGTCTCCTGTAGCGTAACCAAGACCACATTTTGAGTATAAATATCAGAGCTGTAGAGAATATTCGCGAAGAAAATATACATACCCGAATGGCAGCATAAAACTTGTGCTCCAGAAAATATAACGTGTATTCTATCGTAAAGTAATTCTTCCAATTCCATAAGGGTCGCATCCTCGAGTTGCAGGTTGATCGCTTGAAGTTCATTAGACACGCTCACGTTACCAAAATCCACAATAAGAATATGTCCACCTCTAAAATCCCTTTGCGTTATGATAAAGACCAATCACAATTATACATTTACGAACGTCACGTATCGTACTCACTTCTGTATCGATCCGTACTCGGGAAATATGACGTACGGTCCTTTGATATCTATCTTGAAACTAATTCGGAGAGTTTGGGAAACAATATTGTCTACCAGAATTAGGAAATTTCCTTTTATGTATTCGTATAATTTATATGCCCACAGAATTGTAGTTTGAATATTTGCATTATTCAACTTAAAAAATTGAATAATCTCCATAGTGGCATGCTGAAATAAAATAAAAGATAATTATGATAAAATTACATCTACGTATGTTTTTACATCGTATCGTTATTACGTGATAATAGGTCACTTCGATTGGTTCCAGTTTTATAGACACATCGAAAGTTGGATCCACGTTTTCTCCGTTTTTCTCAAAGTCTATCGCCAAGAAATTGGTCGATACATTTCCTACGCGAATAAATCAAATATTCAGATAGATCGTATAAAAGAAAAGTATCATCTTCGTACCTGTTAAAACATTGTCCACTGTAATTAGGGGTACTAGATCACCATCCAAGGAAACTCCTTCGACTACAAAACTCTCAGCTCGAGCGGATACCTTGAAAGCGGATAGTGTCGGCTGTATTTCGATACTTGCCAAAAATTGAGTTATAGTTATAACGAGAATTTCTTTGTCATTGGTTAAGAGACTCAAACAAGAATTTGCTAAGGTGAAATTGAATTTATAATCTGAAACAAAATATTAGTAATTACTCCCGTTATTCTTAAGGTACTCATTCAGTTTGTATCATTATCTAAACATTCTAAACATTCCAAATGTTACCGATCGGTTGCAGTAGCTTTTCTAATTTTGTTTTTTTCGTGGATCCGGTATTAATATTATGGTGAGACAATTTGTTAGTTTCTCGTGTCTCGTTATTCTCTGTATTCGAATTTTGTGTATCTTCCATGACCTTTTGCACCGCAACGCTACTATTCACATTTTGACATTCCTCTTCGATACTTTTATTTTTCAATTCTTGTCTAGCATGCTCTCGAGCGATTACTATATTCAATATCGTCAAACAATCTTCGTATTTTTGTAAATCTAACTTCAACTCGGTGTCGTTCGGTCGAAGTAAACTTTGCAAACATGTCTCTTTGTACTTCCTGTAATTCTTCCTATGTTCGATCATTCTTGCGTACGTGTACGATTTTACGTTGTACTCTAACGTTGAATTGTAAGCATACTTCCACCAAGCCGATGGATTTTCTTTTACAGTTTCGTTTGGACGATATTTAATATAGGGTCTGAAAAAATATTAAGTTAGATAAAGTTGCATCGAATTTAAAATAAGATAAATTACGAGTATATTACCGATTAATAGTTGCGCGTAACAAAGAATCATAAAGATGACAAAAAGTAATGTACTGTGCTTCCGAAACTTGCATCGCTACATCATGAAGAACAATATCGACCAACATACGAGATGTTTGCGCCTCGTTTCCTTTATGTATGATTATTTTTATCTTCGCCGTAAAAGGCTTTAAAACTAGAAAACAGTATCGTTAATTTTTTTCAAAGATTAAGAGAAAGGAAAACATAAGTTTGTATACTCACGAAATTGAAATTCCTTGTTCCTCATACCAAAAGTTTGTAGAGATCTATGCATCGTTTCTTTCCACTCTAGAAAGCTAGATATATCCCAATCGTACTTATTACTCGGAAGGGAAGATTCCGTGTCGTGATCCATATATACACTCAGCGATTCTGCTCGTACCAACTGGTAAATCGTGTTCGTGTTACTCGAGCAGACACCAGGTTTCCATTTGCTAAAATTTTAAAAATTCAATAACAACAAGTAAAGGATAACGTAAATGATTAACTAAAAGCGACGGCTACCTGTTTGTGGTCATCACGGATATACTTTGAATACAGATACCGCAAGCGCACAGAGATTCGTTTAGCTTCTCTTCATATCTAATATGTACATTATTTATAGAAATCTGAAAGTTTTTTGTCACGGATGCCAATAAGTTATCGAATAATTCTGAAAGTAATTATAGATGTTAAAGATTATCCTATGGGAGTAGCACAACGAATGTATTAATTCTAAATTCATGAATCACCTGTTCTGTACCCTTCATCTTCCTTTAAATCTTCCAATATCTTTTTCTTTTCTGCTCTCATCAGCTTCTTCTGTATTTCTGCATTGTATGTACCATAAGCAGCAGGTACAGCTACTATATATACATCCTTGGAAGTCGAAATCAAGGTATTACTATCGACATTGTAAAGAAATTTTGAAACTAACAGATTTCCTACCTCGATACAAAGTACAATGGGTTGAGAAAACAATCCGGACCATGGTATCTTCAAAACTATCTTTCCTACCAGTCCTACGTCTACTCGGATAGGTAGACCAAGCTGATACTGTAAGTCACAGGTAATTAGGATCAACTTTTCTTTGATTATTTTATTAAATTTAAAAAAATCATGTTGAGCAGAAGAAAAACTAGCTTACCAAAGCTTCAGGTTTCAATTTAAGATCAGTCAGACAAGTGTCACCGGAAAAAATACCAACGTTGAACTGTTCAGTGTCCAAGTCCTCGACGTATTTGCCCAGAAACCTATTCAAGAACGCCGCTATAGCACCTTCGAACATCGTTTTGCATTTATGTAATTCTACCACGGTGTTTACTTGTCACGTTTGGCGTGACACGATTTTCTAGCACGGCTCCCTGTCATAACCTTAAGAAATTCGCAAAATAAATTCCGTCATGCGCGAAAGTACAACAGGATTTTATTGATCCTTCTTCCTCTTGCTTTGAGATTTCCGTGTTAACGCGTAGACGCATTAACTAGTATTAACAGACAGCTATCTCCATCTACTTGCATCGAGTGTGCGCTTTATTATTTTTTCATTGAATAATGTTAACATATTTGTAACAAATAGAAATGGAAACAAAAATAATAGTACAACAAAACTTGAGAATGAAAAATTGAGACGTATCGAACCTCTAGATCGACGAAGGTGTACTTAAAGAATTTATTAACGAAAAAGGTAGTTGAAGAATATATAAACACCGATGTGTAATAGTACTTGTTTATTATCGTATCGTACAAGGTTTCAAGTACTATATACAATATAACGTTAAACCACGCCTGGCGAAATACTCGATAAATCAACAAAATATGGCAAGTCATTGAAATTTGCACATTTATGACGCGACAAACTCGAAAGTATTCAGCCAAAAGCTACGATCATGATCGTTGTCGCTTACAATTGCAATTGTCGTCACTATCGATAAAGGATACTTTACTCTGTACATGCAGCAATGATCAGAACTGAGTATAATTCATTTTAACACATACTCGTTCGGTACAGATTTCTACGGTACTCGTCTTACGAACGATTCTATCTTTACACTTCACTACGAGCCTACTGATCGGGAACGTAATAGTTTTTTAATGATTCTATTACGAAGTACCTAGAAAATGTATATAAACATCTAAAATACGTCATATACTTAATATTATATACATAGAAATATATATTACATCATCGCTAATCGTTGGTATCATTCTAAACGGCCAAATGTTTCGTCTCTCCTGTGTTAGGATCCACTATAACTTTTTCTTTGCAATTATTTACGGTGGAAGTACTACCGAAGGAGTTCGTATCGGTAAGCGGAAAGAATCTTCCATCCGAATATTCCTTAAATAATAATTCCGCGGCCTTTTGTTTCTCTTCTTTGCCGTTTGTGGCCATCTTCTTCATCGTCAAGGTCAAAAGTTCTATGATGAGATAGGACTCCGGTTTATAGAGTCTCGTGAAATGTAGCCTAATGTGTTCTCCGACATTCTCGTCTTTTCGCGGTATATAATCACAGTGGGGGCAGGACGGTGTCATTCTTTCGATGCCGTGTCGACGTTTATGGGAGTCCATCGCGTCTTTGTCACACGTGGAGAACGGGCAACTTTGACAGCGTAACGTGTCCATCTCCTCGTTAGGCGACAAAAGCATTCCTCTCTTTTGCAGCAACAACAAAGACTGTTTATCCTGATTCGAGGCTTGCATCCCACCGTAGGTCAACATCGACGTTCCATTGATGGATATCGTCGTCACGTTTGACTTTAAAGTCTTCCCTGAACGCGACAGGGAACCTGTATTGTCGGAAAAGGAATCGCTGTCGATAGTAATCGTTTCGTCTTCGAATTGCCTGCGCGAAGCTTGCGCTTCTGCGTTGGCCTGATGCTTCTTCAAGTGTTGAATGTAATTGGCGTAGTACTTGACGGAGTAGTCACAAGTATCGCAACGGTATCTCTGTTTCGCGCCGTGTAACGTCAGATGAACTCTGTATTGTTCTCTTTTCTCGAAGGCAGAGGGGCATTTATGGCATTTGTAACGTTTCTCTTTCATCCGACCATTCCTCAAATAACTAGGATACACAAAGTTGGGGTTGCCGCGCATGAAGATTCCGAACTGTGGGTCGGGAGGCGGCGATAAGTTGGAAGTCAACTCGGTCGCTTCGTTCTGTCGTCGATGAACGACCTGATGCTTTACCAGATTTTGGGCGGTTTTCGACGAATAATCGCACTCGGTGCATTTGAATCTATTATTCGAACCGTGCAACGTCATGTGATATTCCAGAGCGTCCAACTTGAAGTAACGAGCTGGGCATTTGGCACATGTAAACACTTGATTCCCGGTTCGTTGATTCGCATTGTTGTGGAAGGTGTTACTAGAGTTTTCGGAAACTTCGACCACGATCCAAGCGATCGCGGCTACTGAGTCGGCAGAGTCTTGGCCACCAGCCTCGACACAGGCCGTGGTAGGAGGTGCGTATCGCTGCGAGTGACCATATATGGATAATAAATACTTTGTACGCTCCTGATACTCGGTGGAATGTGCTTTTTGATGGGCTAATAGGTGAGCCGGCTGACGAGCGGCGTACGAACACCATTGGCAAGAATAGGCTAATTCCGTAGAATGATATCGTAGATGGATTCTCAACTCTTTCTCGCAAAGGAATCGCGCTGGGCATTTGCTACAGCAATGCACGAGTCTCGAATCTCGCAGATCGGGTTCCGAGCCCAACACAGGAGGATGCGCGAATCCGAGAAGCGTAACCAAGTCGCTCAATTGTTGCGAATCTGGCCTAGTGTCGTCTACCAGACAGTGAACGGTGCCCAGGGATCCGGAATGCATGTCCGTATGAGCAACCATCACCTCTCGTCGCGCACAGGTGAAACTACAATCGGTACAAGCGATCACGGGTCCGTGGCTAGGGGAATCGAGATGCATGCTCTCGTGATCTCTGACCTCGGCTCGTCGCGAAGAGACGAAAGGGCAGTGACGACATTTCAACATTTTTGCAAGCGTACCATCTGGTCGAGACACCCAGACTAACGGCGCCTCGGGTAGAGCTCGCGTATCTAAAAGTAGCGGTGGAGGTGCATTGGAATTCTTCGAGGCGTTGCCCATGCAACTAACGTTGTTCTGCGTAGTTATATGAATCACCTGTTCTACAGGCTTCTCTTGTTTCATGCGATTAGTACCTAAAATAATAAAAGTCAAATAATATTCGTCGATCGGTGCTAAATTCGTTAAACTTACCGTTATCGATATTGGAAGCTTGCTGAGACTTATATTTAGAAGGCGAGTAGTTATACTCCATATTCTGTTGATGTACAACAGCAAGCTCTTCGCCGTGTAGTCTGACGTGATCCAAAAGCTCTCTGCGATAACAAGAACATATGTATAATTCGCAACTTTGCTTGTTCGAGAAAGTATAGGTAAATTACAATGGTACAAAAATACTTACGCTTTTGTGCTAACGTAATACGGGCACAAGTAGCATTTGAAAATTGCTTCCAAGTTTGGGCGATGATGAATTCTGTGCATCGACAAAGTTGCGGCATCGGGCGCGGAAAACGGGCAATCCCCGCAACCGAATGGATTCTATAATTAATGCAAAAAATAATTCGATTTGTGATAAATCGGGTGATAGACGAAGAATTTAGACCAACATACTTTTTCATCTCCGAGGCGTTGTTCGGATTCATTGTGCGACTTGACGTGCAAAGACACGGTCTCTCGGTTAGAATGTCTAAAGTTGCAACGCTTACACTTCCACATAGTGCGTTTGCTTTCTTCCGTGATCGAAGTAGAAACAGATCCGCACTGACCATGCGTGGAAATCAAATTGTTTTTGAGCAAAGATTGTCCTCGATTTTTAGCGGCAGCTTTAAGCGGAGGCGGTGGTCTTAGACCAATATTAATAGTATTAACGTTATGATTCTCTTCGTTCGTGGACACAATCGAAACTGGAGCAGACGTGAGCTCTGGCGTTTGCAAATACTCATCGCTGTTCAGTATCAATACCTTAGCTGGTGGTTCGTCGGAATTAGATTCCTGCACGCTACGTTCCTCCATATTTTGTTCGTCCCACGAATGTTGATCGACCTAAGGAAGAAACCATGAGGTTATTGTGTATTTTTTATTCATCGTATTAACGTGCGAGCGATACATTGTTGTTACACGACGGAAAACAAACTCGTAACTCGGAATAATAAAAAAAAAAAAACAAAAGAAGAAGAAGAAACGAGACTACTCGGCACACTGAGAATTTCTTTCGAAAATTAAAACACTTTCAAGGCAATGGAAACATTTTGAACGTTATCATGACGGTTCCATTTACTAAGAATATGCTTGTAATTACAATCAAATTTGACATCATAACACCAATCAAGTGTCCAAGCGCTTCGATACAGAAAGTATATTTTGCGTTTCTAAAATGTTACTATTAACTTTGCAAGGATCATCACTCGTGTTTGTCGCGGGAAGGAGAAAAATAAATCTTGGAAAAAAAAAAGAAGACAGTATCGAAATAAAGTGTAAAGAAATCAGTGCGCCTATCGAAAATGACAAGCACCATCACTAATAAAGTGGACTAATGTGCTTAATGTAAGTGAAATTTGTGCTTTCACCTGTGCAAGATACTTGTTATACTTGGAATAATTCCGTCGACCGGTTTCATCCGTCATAAGTACCCTGGCAGTCATATGAACTGGATCTTTAGCTGCTTTAAGTTTAATATGTTTTGTGATGTCCCAGCGCCAGTTAGAGCGATACGCGCACAGGGAACACTCGAATGGCTTCCGATTTAAATGACCGACAATATGAACGTGAAAGCGACTTGCGGTGGACGCCCAAAATGGACAATGCGGGCATTTGAATACCCGTCGGCCGCTTGGATGCGTCGAGGCGCCTTCAACCTGACAAAAGATTTGACTGCCTTTATCAAAATAAACTGTTAACACGCTTGAAACACAACAGGCTATGGTCTCGACTATCGTAAATAACATTTAAAGCACATTCTTAATAACAAAAAGAAAAAATAATCGAGGAAACGGAAAAAAAACACAAACATAATGTACAATTTATCACAATAGCGTTGCATACTTGAATGAGAGACTCGTGGCTTCAAGCTAAACCGAAACGTACTTTTTAACTATAGATTTTTCTAATAGCCGTACAGGATGCTTGCAATCAAAACATTGAACGTCGAGTTCGACGCGAATGAAAAATAGTCAGATCTGTTGACTCTCGTATTGCAATTCTCATATTCATTCGTGTGTTCGTTTATTGTTCGTTTATTGTTCATGTGCACGCGTAAGGTAAAGTATATTATTTTTGTAAAAACACCATACCGATGATCCAGAAGAATTCAGTCCACTGAGATTAACGTCCCAATCCGTTTGCGCAGGGAATGCATATTCACCGCGATACGAGGTCACACGTAGTTCTGAACAATTCGATAATTTTTCTAAGCTACTGTCTATGGACATATCGTTGCTTGCCGAGCGACAACACTGCATATGCGCTTGTAGATCAGTCGAGCTTTTGCAACGTCTTCTGCACTTAGGGCAACGCGTTGTACCCACAGATACACTGAGAGCAGTGTGGTGTGTTTGTTTGTGACAAGCCAGCTCCTCCATGCTACTAGCTTTAAAAGTACACCAGCATTTCAAATCGTTCGTAGTACTTACAGCTACCTCCGCCAGTCCGTTATTTATCGACGCCGACGTTGTAAGCTTTTCCTTTAGCTTATCAAAGAAGGACGCATTTTTTTTTTCAAACAAATCTGCCGCGTTATTTGCATCCTTCTTTAAATTGCTGGCCTGCGAACAATTCATTCGTATTACAATAATCCTATGGCATATGTATACATGTATACTGATTAATATTAAAAGAAAGAAACTCACTTCTTTATTCCCATACAACTTGGCAAGTTCGGTGTCTCTTGCTATTTGTGCGAGTTCTGGTCTTACCCTGACTCGCGGAACTTTTAAAAGCGTCGTGGAAGAACCACTGGTAGTACTGTTCGATTTAGTAGGACTCAAAGGAATTAACATTGGCAGTGGTTTTCTAGATTTGTTCGGTGAAATCGGAGCATGACATTCCGCCAAATGTCGTTGCATTTCAGAATCCCATGCGGTAATGAATTGACAGCCTTTCTCCTCGCATTTTAACGCTATGCACTCCGCATTAGCTATTGCACTTTGTTTATCGTCTAAGGAATTCATCGACTGATCGGAAATGAACGAGTCTCCGGGACTGAGAGACAGCGTTGTACTTCCAGATATGTGTATTTTCTCCCGAAAGTCACTCGCACCCACCTGAAATTATATTACGTAAAGGTTTCTACCGCATCTCAAAGTAGAATAAAATGTTTACATAACGACTTATTAATGTTACCTGATTGTAACGCTTTGGACTATTTCTCGGCTTACGTTCGAAAGGTGCGTTAGATTTGCGATTCGTCTGCCCTACAGGAGGCTCGTGATGATTAGTTTCGTGCACCGTCAAACTCTGCCTGATATCAGCTGTGAAATTGCAAGCACGGCACTGAAAAGCACCTCCTCCTCCGTGATTCCGAGTGTGTCTGTCTAAATTCCACTGCAAAAGTACATTAAACCTTATTATTATTTTACATCGATTTATTATGTTCTATAAAAATTTCATTAACCTTGTACGGCGTACGAAAATCACAGGCATCACACTTGATCATCGGCATAGAATGATATTTCACATGCTTTGTGTAACGAGCACGTACATGTGTCACGTAAGTGCATTTAGCACATCGAAAGAATCTTCTCTTTAGATGATGTACCCTTTGATGACTTTCCAAATCCCTTGAACTTAATGCAACATGCGAACACATCGAACATCTCGTGCCAGCATCGCGTGCAAGTTTACCCTAGAAACCATTAAATACTCTTCGTAGAGTTAGTACAAATTTTACTCTGTCCAATTTTACAAATGATTCTTGGAAACACTGTTATCGAATGCTGTTAGTAAGCTTGGAAGAAATACAGGAATTTTTATCTAATTTTCAACTGTAACTTGTACCCATAGATTAAAACCAAATTATTACAGATGCTTCAAACAAACAATAATCGATAGATACCAAACCAATTTCTAAAATACTTTTAGCATTTTAGGAATGATATTATTTTCAATTCAATTAAAAAACATAATTTTTAAATAATTTTACTTACCTTACAACCACTACTTATTTTCTTAAGAAAGAGAAGAAAGAGTGAGTGAGTGAGTGAGTGAGTGAGTGAGTGAGAGAAAGAAGCAGCAATTTAGTAAGATATAATTTGATTTTCATCCATTACTAATAATAATAAAAATACTGTACCTTTTGTTTGTGCTCCTTTTTCAGATGATCGAGGTACGCCTTAAGACTCGTTAAAGGCTTCGGTGGTTTGGACGTTTTACACTCGTAACTTTGCGAGGGTCCCGAGCAGTCGAGGAGGTCATCGTGTTCGATCTTTAAATTGTTCTTCGCGGACCCATCATCTTTGTCATCGTGCGAGGTGTTCTCGGTGCTGTCGCGAGACACATGTTCCCTCATCGCGACTTCCTGTCGATTCTCTTTAAGGTTACCTTCCTTGCGGACCTCGCTCTTGAGTTTCTGAGGTCGTGGACGAAGTGCACGCAAACGAGGCAATCTTCCTGACATCTTGGACGAAGCTCGACCCGTTTCACGTACGTCCTACCGTGTTCCTGTCGCGCATCGAGATACCCTTTTATTTCCCCTCGACTCCTCTCGAGTCTCGCGTATCTCTCGATGGGGTAAAAAAAAGGAGAACGACATTCACTTCTCCGTCGGTCTACAGAAGTCTACAGCTACACAGTTTTCTCCTTCCCGATGACTCGTTACTTGTCGAGCCACTGTTTCACGATCGCGTACTCGCCTTTTTCGTGATTTAAACATCACAGGGAAAGATACGCGGCTTTATTTCAAGTATAATCTCCTTGGGTGTTTCAATTGATCGAACCGCGACGGTAGACCTTATGGTGGACGTTACGGAAGTACGGATACGAGTAGGAGTACTCGGTGGTCGCGCGATCTAGAGGCTGCAAGCCGCCATATTTTTTTCTTACCAACGAAACTGCTACGGGGAACCCGTCGGAGCATTCCTGTCAAGGAATCCTATTTTTACGGGAATCTATCTCAAGATAAATACCGAGAATAACGCGATATCGTTTTATTAGTTTCCTCCTATCGATTTCCGCGATGCCAACGCGAAGAACGATAGAACCCATCGACGCCGTTAAAAAACTTGATCCGTGTATACATTGATCAGACGAAACTCTTTAATAACTATGTATGTTTACAAGAACCGTCTAGCGATTACTAAACGCGTAATTTACTTGAGAAATCCAATACTTTACGATTAAAAGCTGGCCAAATTTTTCTTCAAAGTTAAACGAACATGTAATTTGAAACAATATTTTAGCCATTTTTCTGACTGAAATCAGTCAAGTATTCGGTTTACTCGACGAAGAAATGCAGATTATTCCGCATTATCGTGTTTACAATTATTCAAAGGAAAATTATTACAAGAGACCTTTCGTGTCTATTTAGGATTCGAGTCATCCCGGGTCGTAGCAATAAACGTTAAAATTATTTTAACGATTTCACGATTGCGTACGTTTACTTGGTCAAAAAATGGCTGGTTAATCGTTCTAAACGCAGCGAGTGCTCACTCGGAGTATAATCATTTCCAATAACTCGACTTTCCTACTACCAACATCCGGTTTACACGATACGACGCAACGGTCGATCGCCGCGGGTCAACATGTCGCTGGAAACGTTAATCGTTTTTCTGCGCATGAATTTCTTTTCGTTACCGCAACGGCTCGCACTCGTTTGTCTTTATAATCGTAAAGTATGTAATTTTTTGCGTAATCTTGATCAACTATAAGAAAAAAGTCCCTGGTCGACGCGCGAACGATCCAACAGAGAACGATACAAGATCAACAGAGAAGGAAGAAGATCCAGTTTCCCGACACGCGTGTGCGACTTCCGTTTCTCCCGGCGATTTCCGGTTTATGGTCGAACGATGCGATTGAACGACGAGTGGAAGTAACGTACAGCATTTAAAGCGCGTTAAACGCGTGTGTGTGACACGAGCGAAAAAAAGAAACGGGGGAAGAGAATGAATCTCGAATTCGTCGAGGAAAAAACAAACCTCGGACAGAAGTTAATTCGCTTGAAGCAGTAGGTTATCTTCCGAACGAACGACCGTTGGAAATAGGTACGCCGATAAACAGTCTGAACAGCCAACCAGGAGCACCGGATTTACCATCGCGACCGTCTTACGATTTTCGACGCCCGAGAAAATCGGATACGCTCGCTGGACCCTCGGTTCCCTCCCTCCTTCTCTCCCTTTCTCCTCTTTCTCGTCACAGGCTCGCTTCTCTTACAGCTCTTATATACTATCGCGATACCGTGATGTATCTTCGTAACACCTCGTCGTCGTCGGCGCTAACAGTATTACAATAGCCGACGAACCGAAGGATGAATCGTAGAAAGACTACGAAGACCGAGCGAACCAGCAGCCCCTCCCTCCTCTTTGACCGACTCGACTCGGCCAGGAACGATGGCGATGCCGAAGTGGCGCAGGTCGGGCGCCATCTGCAATTCCAATTCTGATTCCGATTCTGGTATCCACGTACAGTCCTCGCACGCCCCCACTTCCTCTCTTTGGTCTCTCCTGCAGCCCTTGACAGAGACCAGCCAACACCACCACGAGAAACCAGTCTCCGACACTAATAATTCCTCGACGAATAATCATTTAACATACCACAACACCAATTTCAATTCCTGCTTATCAAACAAACAATTTCCCTCGAATACGTCTTAAAAATTATTACCAAAAGCACCCAGTCTTCTTTTTATCATTCTTCTAGGCTCCTTAATCGTCCTTACATCAACATTAACGTTGGATTACTTATTTTATTGCTCAGTAGTGAAAATAATGTATAAATACAACAAGGACTCGCGCCAAGAAATGCGAACATGGTATCCGATATAATATTTACAGCTACGCCCGTATCATCGACAACGATCGAGTATTTCATTATCCAAAATCATATTTCGCGTAAACATACCGAGCTAGGAGAAAAAGGAACGACTGATTCATTATCGATAACCGCAATGATGACGATGTTAACTTGCGAAGGACAAGTTAGCGTGTACGTTGAACCGAGTTAATTTATTTTTTTCCTACTTTGTTACGTAATGTTACTATGACGCTGGTTTGTAATTAGAGATTATAAGAAAGACAGCAGAGAAAATAGATGAGTTATTATATGCAGTGGGAAAATATGTACATTTTTCATTTGTACACGCGAAACGAATTGTCGTGCGACGTCCATTTATTTCTTACAAAAATATTTATAGTTTATTTTATACAACGCGTACACCTTCTATGATTCTCTCGTTTATTTATAACAAGATATTTTAAAATATTAATTAAACTATATCGGTTTTATTTAGCCAGGGGACGGTTTTTCGTCGAATAGTTGGGTCGCTTAACAGGTTAAGATTTCATCTATCGTTATTCTACAAAATTTTCTTCGTCGATATCAGTTCCATTTTCTCATGAATCACGATCGCGAATGTTACTCGAAATTTCTTTGAAATGTCCTACAAATTATATCGAAAAATTTAACGAGACTGTTCAATGCTTTCATCGATTATTTCTTTACTATGTGCAATCGTAACGCATGTTTTAACCACGTTTATTATCGACTCGTAGTCATCCAATAGACTATTGCTGGCAGTTCTAATTCTTCTTCAATGGACTGGTTCATTATTCATTGTTATTGCAATATTTTTTTATCTATTTTAGAAGTTTCGTCTGCAAATAACATATTTTATTAAACAAGTTTATTCAACAGTCCTAATATTTACATACGCTACATAGTTGTCGATATACTCTTCTCAGCAATGTAAACGTTTGCGTCGTTTCAACTTTTCCGCTTGTTTCATTCCGACGAATGAAATTTCACGCTGTTTTTTTTCTGTTATTCGAAATATGTATACTTTCAACGCTAACTCGATTCGTTTTTGCCAAATCTCTGTGCATTCTTCAGCGTTCAATAACATCGACGTAGACAGGAAAGAATAACGATACGTAAATCGTACCGTACATCGCGATCGGAACGGTTCTATTCGAATTCGACTAAATATATTAGGCACACTTCACCGCATGGTACTTTGCATTTTAACATGTTGGTATTGGAAACATTTTTCAGTCTGTATTGTTGGATGATTGATATGAAACTGAATTAAAAAAGATGGACGCATCGATCTGTCGGCATTGGTCGGCATAGCGACGGCGACGAACGAAACAGACATTTTTTACGAAACTAGGACACCTATTCGATTGATGATCGCTCAAAATTATCCATTAAAAATTACTTGTTATGCTCGACTATGCAAATGCAAATAGTACGATCTTTTTGGAGCGTACGACTATTTCTTGTAGAGTGCTCCAATGATTAGATAAAACGACTCGATAGATTATAGCTGGTGGTCTTTTTATACCGACTAATTAACGAATAAAGTACTCTGTCTATTTTTTATTCTATACGAACGTCGACTGTTTTGTCAATTCTTTTATTTCGTATAAAATAGAACGATTAAACGACTTATAGTATTTCTCGCAATCTCTCGTTGTTAATCGTGAAAGATAAAATTATATAAATCATAATTACGAGATTACCATATCTATGAACTTGGTTAAGGGTTATTATACATCTTGTATAGTTAAAGGAAGGATAAGAAAATATCACGGTCGATTCATTCGATTTCATTCATAATTAACAATTATTTAAAAATCTCTGTATAAGAAAAATGCAATTAACATGATATAAAAACGAAATTTCGAAATGCATTCTTACAATATATTAATCTTAATTTTCTATGTATCTCTGCATTGTGTTTACAATTCATTATATGCAGATTAAATGCACGTCTTTTCCCCGTAACCAGTGGTATATACTAGTTTTCCGATATATTTTTTTAATACTTCGATTGTATTACACCAGGTAAATCAACTCCAAGTCATTTGAGTTCTTTCTTCAGGTTTTCCGCCAGTTTATCCATGAATTCGAATGTTTCCAAGTAATCTGATCTAGTGACGTTGCTCATGCCTTTGATGCAAATCGCGAGATCTTTCGTCATGAAACCTGCCTCAATGGTGTTGATGCAAACTGATTCTAGAGTTTCCGCGAATCGTTTAAGTTTATCGTTGTTGTCCAGTTTTGCACGATGAAGTAAACCTCTGGTCCATGCAAATATCGAAGCAATAGGATTGGTCGATGTCTCTTTTCCTTGTTGATACTGACGATAGTGCCTAGTGACGGTGCCATGAGCAGCTTCTGCTTCCACGGTACGTCCATCCGGACAAAGTAAGACCGAAGTCATCAGACCTAAGGATCCGTATCCCTGCGCCACGGAATCTGACTGAACATCTCCATCGTAATTTTTACAAGACCATACGAAACCACCCTCCGACTTCATTGCGTACGCTACCATGTCGTCTATTAAACGATGCTCGTACCAAATCTTTTTTGCTTCGAATTGTGCTTTATATTCTTTATCGTATATTTCTTGGAAAATGTCTTTGAATCTACCGTCGTATTTTTTAAGAATTGTGTTTTTCGTCGAGAGGTACAAAGGATAATTTCTCGATAGAGCATACTGGAAGGAGCTATGAGCAAACGCGCGTATACTTTCATCTGTATTATACTGAGCTTGCGCGATGCCAGGTCCTTTGAAAGTATGAACCGTGTACTGGAGTTTCTGTCCATTGTCTCCGGTCCATGCAATTTCAAGTTTCCCAGGTCCAGGTACTATAAAGTCTGTAGCTTTGTACTGATCGGCATGGGCATGTCTACCAATGATGATTGGCTGATTCCAACCAGTTACCAGACGGGGAATGTTTTTGCAAATAATAGCTTCGCGGAAAACTGTGCCACCTAAAATATTTCTGATAGTACCATTGGGGCTTTTCCACATTTCTTTCAACTTGAATTCTTCTACTCTTTTCTCGTCGGGTGTGATAGTGGCACATTTGATTCCTACGTTATATTTCTTTATAGCTTCTGCACACTCTATGGTTACATTGTCATTGGTTGCATCACGATTTTCGATACCCAAATCATATGTATGCAATTCAACATCTAGATAAGGTAATATCAGTTTCTCCTTAATAGAATCCCATATGATACGTGTCATCTCATCTCCTAAGATATCGACCACAGGGCCAACCTAAAATAAATAGCAATCAAGAGCATAGAATTAAAGAACATGAATTAAAAATTCATAGAATTAAAAATTATTCTATTGTTAGGTAAAAAAGATTATTTTTATTTATTAGATATAAAAGAATTCTTTTCGTAAGATGGACAATATACTTGCCGTCAATTCAATTAGCATTGATTCAAATTCATACGCGTGTATATTTAAATATTTTTGTTATACGTATATGTGTACGTACGTGCACTATATAGGAAAGTCAATGTCATTGAGCTACTATTGGCCTACCTTTATTTTTGCCATAGTTGCGGATGAAGCACTAAATGTTCTAACAAATGAATGTCCAAAACGTTCGTGAGATAGATGAATCTTCTCGCACAGTATCGGCGACAACCTGACGGTGCTACTACACGATCCGATATTGGCTGCACTCCTTATAAAATGCAGATTCACTCTGAGACGGTGGGGCGAAAACATGGCAGCTTTACCCACTTTCTTATTGCTACTGTTCTTCTTTACCCTACGATTACGTACGGTCCACGCTTGCAAAATTTATTTTATCTAATATCTGACGATAAAATGTATTTATGTTTGTCACATATATTTTTGTCAACTTCGTCAAAAAATGTATCGTAATATACGTATATGCACGTACATACACAACGTATATTAAACTTTCACAATTTTCGTAAATGGTATTTTTATCTTACGTATCTTTCGCTAAATTACAAAATGTAGACCAAATCGACGTTCGATGCGTATATTAGGACGATCACATCGATACAATATTTCGTTCATAATAAACTTTCAATACATAGTAGTATAGTTTCTCTTATCAGTTAAAAAGTTTCGTCTAATCTCTGGAGTTTGGACCGTGATGGTAAATAATGTTTAACCGTGAAAATTTAAACGTAGCAACCATATATTTTTGGTATATTTTGGTGTTCATAGAGAACAGTTTGTATTTGAGGGCAAAAAAGGTCTGCCATTTTACGAGGAATTGTATTTGTCGAATGTAAAGAACTGTTGAAATTATGTAAATTTAATTATCAGTAAAGTATGATTCTTTTATGATTACTATCAATGTTATATGGTGAATGAGAATGCATTAAACAATTACAGACAGCATACGTCTGTCGTGTCCTTCTGATTTACATTTTGTAGGTACAAGCATGTATGCAAATCTTGAATGTAAGGTCAGCGTAAGTAGGACGTACATACTTTGTGAATAATTATACACTAAAAATTCGCATATATAGCACGTAAATGGTTACAAACTTCATATTTCGTAAATAATTAATATAAATCTGATATCTTGCTCAGAAATAAGGAAATTTCAAAACAACTGGGACATCTTTCCAAGGTAACCATACTTTTTTTTTATCTGGAATAACTTTTCTGAAGTCGATGAATCTTTTTCTTTACGCATATAAAATGAGAATCATTTCCATATGACTGGAATTGGAATCGTAAACAATTAAGGACAGTTTTCAAATGCCATGAATGAGTAAATTGGAAAAATTAAATAACGCATTAAATAAATGTATAATAATTTAATCCTTATTTTTAATTTTACATACATCAAAGTATTAACGAAAAATTGTTGTTTCATCGTAATTCAACGGGTTCATCCAGAAAGGCCACCACTCACAATGTTTCTCTACCAAATATAGCGAATGCTTCATGGTAGCAGCACATCGCTAAACTATACTAATTTGGTTTTAAAACTGATGGCGCCATCGGTGGGAAAACGCCCAAGTTTGTAGTGAAAATAGTTCTCACTATTCCTGCTAGATGACGTCTGGTTTAGTTTTAGTGGCGCCATCGGTGGGAAAACGCCCAAGTTTGTAGTAAAAATAGTTTCCACTGTTTCTATTAGATAGCGTTACTATTTGATATTGGTGGCGCCATCGGTGTGAAAACGCCCAAGTTTGTAGTAAAACTAGTTTCCACTGTTTCTACTAGATGGCGCCAGCGATATTTTTTAAGAAACGTTCTTTACTTGTTACATATACATAATTAATAAGCTTCATTGCCTTATAATACTACAATATATCAGTTAATATGGCATTATTCTTATCTTTTTGAATAGTTATTTAATACAGTCGTAATTTTCGGAGCCTGCGTTGGTGGCGCCATCTAGCAGTCGACGGTGGAAACTACCTTTGCTACACAAACTTAAACGTTTCTCCACTGATGGCGCGACTGGTATAAAAACCATAGTTGAGCGAGATTGGCTGCTATCAGGGTGCGATTGCTATCTATGGGAGTGAAATATTTGTAAGTTCAGCCGCTAACAGTTCGTTTCGCGATGTATTGTGGAATAGTGAAATTCATGATAGGCATGTCTAACTGGCAGCAGTGCTTGTGATTCATGCGCATGGAGCGTATCGTTGTGAATGATATTTCGTGTACAGAGTATCGAGTTAAGTAGGATGGAAACTCGAGTTCTTACGAGCGAAATTGCGCTATGCCTCGAAAGACGCTGAAAACGTACCGACGATCACGTTAACGTGTTCAAGGATCGACGTGCGTTCGCGTTTAACACTATTTCCTGAAATCTGACAGAATACGGTTTGTTGACAGGTGCGCGATATTTTCCTTTCCGTTTTATTCTTCTCTTTTGTTTCACCTCTGTTCAACCACCTTACTTGTTTTCCTCTTACGTTCGATTCCCCTTTACCCTTTCAACCCTTAAGCGCCTTATCCCCCATTTTCATCTGCCGGGCAAAAAAAGAGAGCACCTCTTTTTCCCTCACCTCCCCCTCCATCCTCTATTGCGTTCGTTCGTCCGCTCGCTCGCTCGCTCGCTCTTTTCGATTCTTCTCTCTGTCTCTTTCTCCATGCCTCTCGTTTTCTCTCCCCCTCTTCGAAGCATCGGCGTATTTTTCTTTCTTTTATTAAATGTACACGATAACAAGACAATTTTCGGTTCTTTTGCACACCGTAAACGTGGATGAGTGATCGTATTTTCGTGCGGTGGCCGATCATCGTCGGCCGTTCTGCCTCGTACGTGAACGTGAATGCTCCCTACGTTTAACTGGTGTCAATGTACACACGGTGTAACGTTATCGTAGCATCGACGGACAGAGAGCATTTCTAAACAGGATCCTCGTTCAGCTAGAAAATTCGTCATGATGAAGAGCAGTGCTATGCTTAAGAAAGAAACTAAGATGCGTATACGTGCTTTTCCGGTGAGTACTCTCTTTTCGTTACCCTTTACATTTTTAACCTTCTTTCGCTTCAACCACCGTACATTTTTTTCTTTCTCACTCGGTTCCCTTCGTTCGACCTATAAACTCGTCGAAATGTTTTTCTACACAAATTTACACTTCTATACACGCGCACACACATATGCACGTATATACATATATTTTTATAACCTGTTCTTTGAAATTTTATAATGCATTGATTTTTTGGTTATATTTCTTTCTGTCTTAATTGCTCACAGGGGCGCATTAGTTTTGTTGATCAATATATTCTGCATTATAAAGCTGAAGTTGATATTTTAACACCTGTACATGCATATAGATGTATACAGTCATAGATGATATATACCTAGTATTTTGTTTCTCATATTATAGGGATTATTTATAATATGATAGTGTGTTTTATCATACACATGAACATGTCTGCAAGAATCTGATTGGTAAAAAGTAGTTGCTATAGTGGCATAAAAATGAAGCAATGAAATATAACTGCTGCAATGTTATTATGTATAACGATGTGCTTCAGTCTGTTGTGACATTAAAGTTTAGAACCTAAACTGTAATTGTAACAGCTAAATTTATAATTATATAATTATTTCTACAGAGTCTCTAAATTAAATAAAAAAAGATGTCTAACATTTAAACAACCACAGCAAACATTTGTGTATCTCTTTGCGGTCATGTTTCATACAACTGTATGTAATTTAATTAGAAAACATTCTTGCATTACTTGTTTACTTCGATTATTTTAATCATTGAACAAAACAATATAAGTGAAACTTATGAGGAAAAGGAAAAAATTACGGTTCAACTAAAATCAATGAAATATTAAGAAGAAAAACAGTACAAACAATGAAAACTTATATCTTTGTAATCTATAGTACAATGATAGGGTTAACATTCGTACATAGTATATTCTTTACCAGTTAAAGATGTACCTATGCTTTTAATGAAACCAACCACTTTCTTAATATTTTCAGTAGTTTTGTTGTTTCCAATATCTTAATTACTTATCCATGTTTAAAATAATATAATTAATATTGTTTCGCTCTCTTTTTTGTAGACTAATATGGACGAAAAGTACGTGGAAAGTATTTGGGCTTTGTTAAAAAATGCAATACAGGAGATTCAGAAGAAAAATAATTCGGGCCTTAGTTTCGAAGAACTTTATAGGAATGCTTATACTATGGTTCTTCACAAATATGGGGAACGTCTATATACAGGTTTAAAAGAAGTCGTAACACATCATCTCGAGAATAAAGTACGAGAAGATGTATTAAGATCGCTCCACAATAATTTTCTCCAAACGTTAAATCAAGCTTGGAATGATCATCAAACATCTATGGTTATGATTAGAGATATTCTAATGTATATGGATAGAGTGTATGTGCAACAAAACGATGTAGACAATGTGTATAACTTGGGTCTTATCATATTTAGAGATCAGGTAATTCTCTACAACGATATAACAAACATCGAACTACTTCTCGAAAAGATGAGCGACGATTCACTTGATTATTTTTAGGTTGTCAGATATGGATGCGTGAGAGATCATTTACGAGAAACTTTACTAGGTATGGTAGCGAGAGAAAGAAGGGGGGAAGTAGTAGATCGCATCGCGATAAAAAATGCCTGCCAAATGTTGATGTTACTCGGTATTAACAGTCGTCAAGTTTACGAAGAAGATTTCGAAAGGCCTTTTTTACAACAAAGCGCTGAATTTTATAGGGTAAGAAAATTTTCCGCGTATAGTTTTTAAATCTAATTTTCGTACATTTTTTTATAACTATTGATTCATGTTACGCTCGTTTCAGATGGAATCTCAAAAATTTTTGGCTGAAAATAGTGCGTCGGTATATATAAAAAAAGTTGAAGCTAGAATTTGCGAGGAATCCGAAAGAGCAAAACATTATTTAGACGAATCTACCGAACCTCGAATAGTAGAAGTTGTAGAAGAAGAGCTAATTAAAATCCATATGAAAACTATCGTCGAGGTATACAATATGCTATTTAATACTTTGTATATTGTATATTTGTCGACTTCTTCTTAAATACGTTACACTTTTTTGTTGCTTACAGATGGAAAATAGCGGTGTAGTGCATATGCTCAAAAATCAGAAAACTGAAGATCTTGGTTGCATGTACAAATTATTTTCACGAGTTTCGGACGGATTGCGTACAGTATGCGATTGCGTCTCCCAATTTCTCAAAGAACAAGGACGCGCTATGATTCAGGAAGAGCACGATTCGACGACAAATGCCGTTCTTTTCATGCAGAATTTATTGGATTTAAAAGATCGTTTTGATCACTTTCTTCACTACTCGTTTAATAATGATAAGAACTACAAACTAATGATAGCTTCTGATTTCGAATACTTCCTCAATTTAAATACAAAGAGTCCAGAATACCTTTCGATCTTCATCGACGACAAGCTCAAAAAGGGTGTTAAAGGGGTTAGTGCTGTTAATTGCATTTCTATAGATATGTACTTATGGTAGGTAGTAACAAAATGTTACTAAATCTTTTGTATTCTGCAAAGGATTGTTGCATATTCACAAAACAAGATTGTTTTAACTTCTTTGCATCTAATAGTAAGTATTCGTATAATAGTTAACATTAATGAAAAGCATTCGTTAATGATATTTAGATGACAGAGCAGGAAATCGAAGGTATCCTAGACAAAACCATGGTTCTGTTTCGATTTCTTCAAGAAAAGGACGTATTCGAACGGTACTATAAGCAACACTTAGCCAAACGTCTTCTCTTAAATAAATCCGTTTCCGACGACAGTGAGAAGAATATGATATCTAAACTTAAGGTAAATATTTGTAATCGAATCATTAACTTTAGAAGAAAGAAACACCTGTATTATATGCTCTTTTACATTACAGACTGAATGCGGATGCCAGTTCACGTCGAAATTAGAGGGAATGTTCAAAGACATAACAGTTAGTAATACTATTATGGATGAATTTAAAGATCATGTCCTCACATCCAATGTAAGTTTTATATTTTATACGCTTACAGTAGGACAATTAGACAGCCCTCTATCTTCTTCCGTATTACAGACAAACTTACATGGCGTTGACATAAGCGTAAGAGTTTTAACAACTGGTTTTTGGCCAACGCAATCCGCAACTCCAAAGTGTAGCATGCCGTCAGCCCCGCGAGATGCTTTCGACGCTTTCCGACGTTTCTATCTCGCTAAACACAGTGGTCGGCAATTAACATTACAACCACAATTAGGTTCGTTCTTTTTTTCTTTGCCGTTTCTATTGTTTACGTCTTTTGACTAAACATCGGCTAACTATGACTTTTCTCTCGATTGTTAGGTTCTGCAGATTTGAATGCTGTATTTCACGGGCCACGAAGAGAGGAAAGTACTTGCGGTGGCTTAGACACACCGTCCTCTTCGAGTTCTATCGGTAATGGAAGCGGTAGCACTAACGGAAGTTTGTTAAGCCAACGTAGCAGCAGTTGCGGAAACACGAGGAAACACATAATACAAGTCTCGACTTATCAAATGTGCGTGTTAATGCTCTTTAACAAAAGAGAGAAATTAACATACGAGGTCAGTTTAATCAGGCAGTGTTTTTTAATAAATGTCACTTACGTTGGAATTTCGATGTTTCACGATACAATCTATAAAACGTTGCGTAGGAAATTCAAGGTGAAACCGATATTCCAGAGAGAGACTTAGTTAGAGCGTTACAATCTCTCGCGATGGGCAAAGCTACTCAGAGAGTGTTACTAAAGCATCCTCGTACAAAGGAAATAGAACCTTCGCATTATTTCTGTGTCAATGACAGTTTTACTAGCAAACTACACAGGTATTCTGACTTTACTAAAGTAATATCATCGGAAGGTAAATAGTTCTCTTTTGATATTATATTATAAATAGTGAATAATTTTTGTTTACAAAGAGTGAAGATTCAAACGGTAGCGGCGAAAGGTGAATCGGAACCAGAAAGAAGAGAAACGCGTAATAAAGTCGACGAAGACAGAAAGCATGAAATAGAAGCTGCGATCGTTCGTATTATGAAAGATCGGAAACGCATGCCAGTACGTAATATTAATACTATCGTGTTCGTTATTACTTGTGCTCTCGATGCATTTCTATCACACGTTTTACCCCTTTTTCAGCATAATATACTTGTAACAGAAGTAACGGAGCAATTAAGAAGACGATTCTTGCCTTCTCCCGTAATAATTAAAAAACGTATCGAAGGTTTAATCGAACGTGAATATTTGGCACGCACGCCAGACGATAGGTGCGTGTAACAGTTATCTTTTTAGCATCGTAACATAGAATTTTTAATTATAATTCAATTCGTTACTTTCGATTACAGAAAGGTGTATACGTACGTTGCTTAAAGCTCGAATTCAAATATTGGATCTGTACAAACATGTAAGTATTTTGTAATAATACAAATTCCTTTCAACGTATTTCAACATTTCGCTATATTTAGTCGATTAATTATATCGTTGCATCATCAGTTTTCATTTACTAGACATTGTTATTGCCTTTATTATTGTTTCACCAGCATAATTAATACTCTGGCGATTGAGGCATTCCACGTCACAGTCATTTTACTCCGACAGAATATCGATTTCTACATTCCATTAATTATCGATAGTCGTTTATAATAATACGCTTCTATCTTATATTTTAGGTTTTGATAAAATATTATCGTCTCGCGTTGAATAAAATTGTTACATGTGCCACGTATTATACACATTAATCCTAGACAAAATTTTATTTGGTTCAAAACCTAAAATTTAAAATGGAAATTTGCAAAAACAAAATTGATGATGTTACTAAATGAATTGGTGTTATAAATCGATATTGATTGCCTCGAAATTCGAAGAAATAGACATATTTTATAATTGACTAGTTTGGTGGAAAAGGTTGACGTGTTAATCGAGAACTGTAAACTTTATACTCTCAAGTTTAAAACGAAGATTTATAAGTATGTTATGTAACTTTGATGATATCCTCTTCCCTGAAATCACTTCATCGCATTTCACTCATAACTGGTTAAATTAACTGAGACTTGCGAAAAACACCGGCTATAATAGAATATTATAATTGAAATTCAATAGCGTTTGATTCAAACCAATGTTTCTCAATGATAAATGAAAAGTAAGATACGATTGCTAAACACGATTTCCACATCGGTCTTATTACGATTAAGGACTTTTTCTACACTTGTAAAACTGTGATTGTCTATCGTATAAAAACCACCTGGATATACCATGAACTTCGCTAAAATACTGGTTTTATACCATGACTTTATTTACGTTTGTGGTTATCTATTATGTGTGTACATAAGCAGTGTGAATGTATATCTAAGAATATATTTGCCTCATTTTCAGTGTTCGATTATTTTATTTTAAACATTCTCCATATCCTTATATAAACTTGCTATGCTCCTTTTCGCACCACCAAATTTTGTTTGCGCAAGACGGAATCTAATTAAATTCCATATATTACGAGTTGATTATATAAACAGCAATTCGAATCAATAAAAATACTAACGAGTCAAAGTTTTCGTACATTCTTCGCAACTTCCACCTCTTCCACCTAGCTCATCAATTATTTCATTACAACCAAAATTAACCCAGTTCTTCGTTAAATCGCAGAATATTTATTGTAGTATGCCAAAAGTGGAATCTACGAATCTGTAACAGATGTGGAATTTATTGGTGGAATTAAAAAAAGTGCGCGCATGAGCTTACATAAAAATGAAGAACTTAATAAAGGAATGAAAAGTTACGATTGAAAAACCATATTATATTGTAGGCTCAAGTGTCGAAAGATTGATAACACGTGAAATGTATCATGTTTTTATTTTGATTTATATCTTTATTTATTAATATAGAGTTTTAATATTTAAACAAAAGGTTTTACCTTTTCTTACGCAAACTGAATACAAAATAAAACCCTATAAAAGCAATCCTTAATTTCGACACGTTTTAAATACAGAATATCGTGACAATTCTGCCCCGTCCTTTCCCGGTATATTTTCTAATCATTTTTAAATGATAAATTATGATTTTGTAAGGTAAGTTAGCGACGCGAAGTAATCTTACTTTTTCGTCGACAAATTAAAAAAAAAAATTCTGTAATCAATATTATCAGTAATTTGCACTTCAACTATCCTGCGTTATGTTACAGAGAGCGATATATATGTATTTAATGAGGATACTAATGTAATTTCTTAATATTTAATGTATTAACGTTACATCAAAAACAGAGAATTACATATATGCAAAGTAGTACCATCAATTGTAATCGTATGGGAGATTACTAAGTTACAAATTAATATCATTTGCGAGATTACTGAATTACAAATTAATATTTTATATTAAGAGATGGAATTAAATTTCCAACGTAACGCTAAAAAAATACATCGTAATGCGATTACAATATCAACTTGACTTTCAATAATCACACAGATTTATGTACATTCATGACGATTGTTTGATGTTTACAGGATTGATTGATATGCATCAAAAAATCAAGATTGCGAAAATGTTTCTAGCGACGAACGTAAATCTAGTATTCTAAAATTGTTTGCTTTCAACAAATTGTTATTGCTTCGCTTTAGCAGAAGAAAAGGACAGGTAATACTCTTCAAGCCTTCGGAAATCGTACGGAACGTGACCGCGTTACGATTTCAAACACGAATTGTATAAAATATTATACAGTTAGTTTATAATAATTTACTTTGCTCTGAAAAGTTCGTTAATCCACTTTATAAACATTACAATTTGCGTATATTCATATCATTGTCTGTAGTTAACCAATACTGTACACATGTGTCTCAACTTGTTTTCATGTAACAGATAAGTCTATGTCAGCTTGAATTAAATTAGATGTCGGGCGGCAGGCATCATGGTGAGTAGAGATAGTCACTCGTGGTTATTCGTTAGAGGAAGATGACTCTCGCCTTTTCTCCGCGTGCTTTTTGGTGAATTCTTCCGCGTTCTTCAAAAATTTTTTCCTATCCATCACAAACTCTTCCGCGATATTTGCCCTCAAAGGATGATCCGGTTCTGGATCATTCACTAATGCTATTAAAGCTTGTACAACTACAAATAAATCGAGCGGTTACGTAATTTCTTTAAACGATATCATAAATTTAAATACAAGTTTACCTTGTTCCGTTCTTGTAGCTGGTTTCCAATATTCGGGGCTTATGATCGCCAAACATACTTGTCCCTTTTCGTCTACATTAGGATGATATATCTTCGTTTTGAAGATTATTCTAGGTGGTTTAAAGGGATATTCTGCAGGGAAATTTATTTCAATGCGAAATGCTCCTTTGTTATATGGCGGGTTATCCTGCAATGTTTTCTAATTAAATTTCAGAATAGAGTAGAAAATCTATGTCGTATGTATTTACACTTTTCGTTACAAGAATTATACAGAATATTCTCCAATTCAAAGTATTCTATAGCATTTTATACAACAACCTATAGTTGTCTCTTCAAGTAAGATTAGATGAGATTAGGTTATGTCTCTAGACTAAAATGATTACTAAAACGTACCGGCAGTATAAGGCCTTGCCAAGTTAGAATATTTGATTCGTCTACTTGTAGATTTATAAAATTTTTCATCGCCGAAGCTCTTATATCGCCGAGTTCCTAAAAAAAGAACATAATTGTCATCTAAAAGTGTCATTAAATTGTGACAATAACGCGAGCACTTTTCGATGCAAATGAAACAATGCACATCGATAATTTTACGAGAACTACAGATGTCCGTGACAACAGGAAAAAAAATCGGAGATTTAGAAACAATAGTAGAAATATTAACGTTCTATATCACGATCGAAAAGCTCAGTGTTTTGTCAGGAGTAGGGATCCCATGGAAAGTCTGTTAATCGGTCTATATGACAAACGTGCCATCATTTTCGACGATGTTTCGGATCGTACTTTACACGTCGAATTGAACGCACGATCACTCCTATCTCACAGAAACTTTGAATTACCTTTTGCAATCTTCTCGTAGCTGCCATTTTGAAAATAAATTCCACTAAACTAGCAAAACTTGTCAAGCTCTTCGGAGGTGGCTTGCAACTATGTTCCGTCCTTGAAAATTCCCCAGTGTATCGATAGAAAAATCGTCGAAAAAAAAAATTCTTTATAAACGTTCGTTAATCGTGTTTTGTGTCACAGCACGGCCTTTACATCAATGCGAATATAGATATTTACTGTCGATCATCTGAATAGAATCGCTATCCCATTTATTCGGTCAACTGTGTGAGTACGCGCGCGTGCGCACGTGTTGAGTTGCAAACTAAAACCAAGAGATCCATGCGCAGACGCAATATCTTCCATTCGTGTTATTAGTTATCTCACCGTGACAAGATGGCGCTGGTAAGTTGACATTTCACTACATATCTGTACATATCTAGCGCATCGGTGAGCACTGGTACTGGTGAGCACTGATGAGCTGGATGAGCACTAGTGAGCACCACCAACGCAACCATGAAATTATTGTAAAGAGAATGATAATAAAATAATATAATACAAAAGATTTAAATGTTTCGAATAGTTTGAAAAATAATTAAAATCTCGTTACATAATTGTAAGTAAAATAAACAATTTAGTGTTTGTCACCAACCGACTGACGTTTAGTATTGTTGATAAACTTTCGATTATCTGTTTCCTTAAATATTCTGTATTTTTTAGTACATCAGTTGATATCAGTTGTTAGATTTTACGCAATTATTACATTCATGACTTTAATTCATATTACAGGCTTATTTAAATAAAAAATTTCCGATGGATTACAATTTGTAAATTTGTGAACAAGAAAATAGGAATTTTCTGATAAAGGAATAATATTTGGATAAAAAAATTCATCATGTCGAAGGAGAATATTAATTTACCCAAAGCTCCAAAGGACTTGTGTTTTACAGAACTCGAGTTCATCCAAGTAAATTGCAGTTATTATTGAGTTGTATTACATTATATTAAGGATTCTTACAAACTTTTAATGATCCATAATTTCTAGGAGAATTTCAATGTCGATACCTTCCTCCAAGAGCATAAGAAAAGTTCAAAATTAGAAACAATGCGAGATGATTTGGGAATATATTTAAAATTGTTGAGATCTGCCATGATCGATTTAATAAACAGAGATTACATAGATTTTGTGAACTTGTCCAGTAATTTGATCGGTCTTGACAAATCTATTAACGATTTGCAAACACCCCTGGGTCAATTAAGAGAAGAAGTAATGGTAAAATAAAGAACCTTTTGGATTTCTTAATATCTATGCATAACACTTTAATTATATTTTACTATTTTTATCGTAGCAAGTACGACAAACGTTAGACGACGAGATTACTGCAGTTTCTAATAATATAAACGAAAATAACAAAATTAGAGAATACAAGCAGAGTCTGTTTAGTTTACAACATATTTATAAATCGCTGAACAAATTATCGTCGGTATTATCTCTAAATGCATTTCTTGAAAGCCCTACTAAAATAGACATTTTGGAACAAGCAGCAGCAGAACTCAATCTGTTACAATTTCACATGTTCAGATGTAAATTAGACGTTATGAGCGATAAACAAAAAGTATGCATACATGTACAAAAATAAAAAGTTCATTTGTTTTCCTTGTTAATAAAAGAAAATTAATTTTATAATAGGAAAGTGAATGCTTCGAGCGATCTTACATGACGCATCTTAACGAGTTTTTCTTCGCGTGTATACAAGAAAAAAATTCTGCTCTATTAATTCGTTGTTTGAGGATTTATGTAATGCTCGATAAAATAAGAGATGCAGAGGATTTAGTAAGGAAAGAAATTGTTGGTCCATTGATCGATAACGTAATTAATATAGAAAATTTACAAATCGACTTACTCGGTCTACAGAGTATATATAACAGATTATTAAATATTTTGAACATAGAACTCAAACAACTTTTAGATATTACGCTACATTCCGATAAGTATGCATTTCGTTTTACTTTTTGTAACGTTAAATTTTTACATATTATCACGCGCAAATCATTTTCAATTTTTGCTTTAGGGTGTCCATAAAAGGTTTTAATTTCTTAGTAAACAGTTTTTGGATTGACGTGGAAGAGAAAATTGAGCGATACATAAAATGTATTTTTGCTCCCGGAGACCCGGTACTCTTTCATTCGGTAGGTAAATAAAAAGAATAATACTTTTATTATCATAATACCGTATTATTTCGGAATGTTTCATATTTCAGAGATACATAGCAACTTTAGAGTTTTTAGAAAAATTTGAATCCGAGTGTGTTACACCTGATTCTTTAGTTGTGTTAAAGGAAAACAAACAATATAAAAACTTTCTAAAAAAATGGAATCTACCAGTATACTTTCAGATACGATTTCAAGAAATAGCTGGCGTTATTGAGACAGTTTTAACGAAACCAATATCGCCAGCATCCATAAAAGGAACTTTGGATTTTCTTAATCAAAATGAATTTTCTCTTCATGCAACGTATGTTGTATGGGATAATCTCCAAAAAATTTGGTCTGACGATGTATATCTTTATCAACTCTTCCATCGGTATGTATTCAAATCAAAGATGAAATTAAATAGTAAAATACTATAAATTATCGTTACATTTTTATATCTAGATTCTGGAAATTCAGTCTTCAGATATGTGCTAGATATCAAACGTGGGCTCAAACAGTGCTCAAAGAAGTATTAACATTTGCATTCTTTTTATATTACGTAACGTATTCGAATAATAGATTTTAATTGCTTGTTTTATGTAAAGATATGGCCGATAGAAAATGAAGTCAACAACTCGAATAAAGTAGAACATTCCACGAAGCTCAATTTCCTAATTTGTTTACATAAAGATATAGAGAAAATTGTAAAAATGCTTCCATCCCTTCTGGAAACAGTTCAAATGAAACTTAAAGAACGGAAACAGGGGGTATTAAGATTATTAGAAGGTAACAATATTGAATACTAGTCTTATTATCGCTTAAACTTACACGTTTATTTTTCCATAGATTCCCTTAATGAAACTACGGAAAATTTCAAAGTTATCTTACCACGGGTTTCGGAAGAAATTGTGAACGAACTTTTGAGGCCATGCGTAACACATTTAAAACAAGTCAGCGATATACCAAGATTATTTAGACGAACGAAAAGGGACGTACCAACGAAACCGTGCGCTTACGTCAAGAACGCGCTAGCTTTTTTAGTTAGTTTCCATTCGGATTACAAGAAAGTTATACCAGACAACGTTAATCGTTGGTTGGAATTAGCTTTCTCTTCGCTGACCGAATAGTAAGCAACCAACGTATCGTATCGGAGACTACGATACTTGTTAAATTTATTATAATTTATATTAAATTTACACTGTTCTTAGTTACTTGGCTTCCGTAACGGATGTGTTAATATCGGTACAAAAAACGGAGGAGAGTCTAAGGAGATTGAAAAAAATACGCGACAAATCCACTGGTTCCTTCTCTTCTGAAGTTCAAGGAATCAGTGACGATGAAAAAATACGTATTCAATTACAAGTCGATGTACAAGTATACACAAACATGGTAATATTTATTATTAAATTTGTTATTTTGTGCTGCATCGAATTTGTTATTATATGTGTTTTAGATCACTGAAATGGAGATCTCGACTTTGAATGTCCGCTACGTGGAAGAGCTATTGCATGCCGTTGAAACATCCTCAAGGAGGTAACGTTCTCCTCCTCTAACTCTTTTGTTTACAACAAAATGAAAATATTTAATTAAAGCGTTGGATTTAAGTAGGAATCGAAATAGTTGAAAATAAAACGTCAACGAGAATGCGTTAACAGAGACACTTAATGTATTATTTACATAGATATATTTATATTATACAAGTCACGCTTGTATTCTATTTGCGCATTGGTAAAATATGGGATTCTTTTACAATTAGCTCTGATCCCAAAAATCACTTTGTGGTAATTCGATAGTTGTAATCGCGTCTTGATGGGGATATAGCGGATGCCACCAGTTTAGAATTTGGCAATGAACGACACCATTTAAAACCACTTGGTTCGTTAAAGAACTGGCGATATTCGATGTCCCAAAACGAAGTTGTAATCTATGTTCTTTGAAACCTGGCATCAAAGTCATCGATACCGATTGCAAAATTAAGCCGATCACGAGTGGCAACATACTATATTTTAAACAAACTACCTATAAATTTCACAACAATGTAAATGATATTCTGTAGCAATATATGTTGTCTAAAATTGTATAAAATAATAAATACCCTAAGTACTTTACAGTCTTCTTCTGGATTCGCAGCTACGTCCTCCAACATTTCGAGAAAATCTGATTTTTTACCAGTTATTTCGGATTTTTCTTTCAACGTATTTCTAGACGAGTTTGGTACTTCCTTAAATTTGAAGTAGAAATACCACCGCATTTTTCCTTCCTAACAGAATTTGTAAAATTTCGATATTTAATTCCGTTGAAACTATCGTTATTAGGCATGCTTTTACATCGCTTACTTTATGCCACATAAGACAACATCTTCTTTTCACGAGAGAATGTGGATCGTCTTGTTGATAAAAGATATCGTCGATTTCTCGTTTCAGCACAAAATAAGTGTAATGCAACATTCTGATAACGCAAGCACGTAACCCATGCACACGGACCATGCAGTGCGGTTGAAGGCGTTCTGGTAAACCAGGTACACACCTATAGTAACTGTAATCACATTTCATTTAATATCATGCTACTAATTTACAATCAGACAAAAAGTTATTTATTCAAAATGAAACTCACGACTTATATAAATGAAACCAAAATTTGCCTGTTGTTGTTACATGGTAAGAATTTCTACATATTCTAGCAAATTTTCCTACTGCCTCTGGACTAATGTATTCGGATATAATAAACCACACATCCAATGGATAATCCACACCTATCGAGCACGTGAAAAATATAATTCATTCTATAAATTTGTTTTATAGTTCTTATTTCATTTACAATTTACCTTCATCTTCGGTACTTGTTTGAGACATTCTTGACTTTCTATTTCCTGTTTCACTTGTTAATGTGCCTACACAGACAAATTTAGATATTTGGTGTTTTGGATAATCAACATTCTACGATATCTTCAAAACAGCGTACCTTTACTATTTTTCTTAGACTTATTTACATTAAGCAGAGCAGGTTCGTCACTTTCATCTGCTTTATACAACTCTTCTTGTTGTGTTGTTACTTTTTGCATCACTGTAAAATAAATAAAATGTATGATAAAAATGATTGCGAGAGAAATACAGATGAATAAGATAAGCTTTGTTCGTCGAATGAAAGCCACGCAAAATACAAAATTCATTGATAAAATAAAGAAAAGGTAACCTTTGGAAGACATGTTCGTTGCAGCCTTTTTGAATCTCGCATGAGTTCGCGACGTGTTTGCGAAATCGTCGATAGTTACATCTGTCGTGAAAACATAAAATGACCATTACTCGGTGGACTTATTGTTTTTAATGATACGTCATAATAATGAAGTGACAACTAACCTTCAATCGCATTACCATTTCCATTCTCAGTGTTTATCTTTCTGCTTGACTTTTTTCGTAATATAGGCATGTTGTTACGCGCTACGTTACTATATCTAAGAACTCACCAGATACCCGTTGCAACAAAATTAAACATAAAATTTATAAATATTTACACTAGCAATAGGCCACACTGTTAACGTTAACCACCCATAACATAACCACTGATAACCACTCGTTATCCTTGGTTATCCTTCATAATCGGTAAGTCGGTAGGGACATGCACTAGCTATATCGCGCACGTATATTGCATATTGCATTATATTGAATGTGATTCACACTGCGCTGGATCGCATTTCATGATTTATTAATTATCTTTAATTTTAATGAATATTGTCGAGAGCGAAAAAATTACGTAAATTCGTAATGATCGGCACGATGTTAATGCGCTTATAAAACACGTTAACTTTTCCCGCCTCGTAGACTACAGTTTACTACAATTTGTAATCAATTATTTATAAACACGTGCAGTCGAATTTTTAGTCACTTCTTTTATTTACTATATCCCGAAAATCAGTTTTAGTTTAATTCATGTTAAATATAAGAATGTATTGCAGAATTTTTCATCAAAATGAGTCTCTCCATTGAAGAAGAAAAACGCATCTTCAATTCCTTACAAAAACAAAACTGTTGCTTAAGATGTTGCTTTCGATTCATCTGCTGGCGTACACAGGAGTGTTACGAAGATCCTATTAAAATTGCAAACAGTGTAAGTTATAGATACAATAATCTTTCTTTATTTTTATGATGTAATATAATGCTTTCCACAGCTAGGATATATCACTGAAAAAGATGTTTCTTCCAATGATGAAGTTCCTTGCACAGCTTGCTTGGGGATTCTTCAAAACCGAATGCAAGAATCAGTTATTCAAAAAGTAAGTTTTACTGCTCAAACGCGTTTAATTTGTAGCGAGTAAAGTTCATATAAATTTGAAATACTTTTATAAACAGATTCAGACAGAAGTAGAAAAACAAAATTACGACAGCGAGACATTTGTATCTGCGTTAACGGTTCCTACTTGCGTGAACTTTAGAGAACGTTTGTTGCATATGCAGTGTGGTCTTGAACTTGGTCTTTCAGAAAGTGCATTGACCAGCCTCAAACTCAAAATGCAAACTATTAAAGACGTTTGGAAATTGGTAATTACTCCGAAAGTAGAGCAAGCTATCAGGAAACAAGTAGACGCAACAACACCCTCTGCTTTCCTTATTGAAATCATTTTGATGTATAAGTATAACGAAAAAGAATGCGAATCATTGTAAGTGGAAAACATCGTTTTTTTTTTTAAATGGATAGTACTTTTAACGATGTTTCCTTTGTTGTAGATTGAGCATGTATAAAGGGACAAAAAGCGCGGTAAATAAGCGAAAAAGAAAGTGCAACGATAACAGATTTAGTAGAAAAAGTATAGAAACTTTAATGACCAATATAACGGATGAAGAGTTTGCTCAGTGTTTCAAGGATTTTTCCCTTGAAACACCTGCGAGTGCAGATGTAGAAAATATCGTGTGTTCGCATTCGAGCATTTTTATCGGAGGTAATGTATCGTATCAGAAGTATAAAAAAGATATGAGTCGTACATATTCTATATCATAAATTTAGGTCGATACAACAAGTTATCCAGGGAACTCAGTCAAACACCATGGTTTATAAACGGTGAGAAAAAGATGCAAACGTCTGTTCAAGATATATTAGGTAATCCCATTGCAGAAGCTGTAGGAGCTCAATGTAAGTTGGATACTTTTTACCCTTTCGTTGTGTATGTCTTAAATATTTAATGCGAGAAACAATTTTATTCGCGTACAGCTATTAAATTTCTATCATCCGGAAGAGAGGACGTCGACGTTAGAAACATACATGCAGGGAGACCATTTGCGATTGAATTAATAAATCCTCGAATGACTAAAATAACAGATGAATTACTATTAAATCTAGTCGATAAAATCAATCAATCTTCCCAACAAGTCCAAATCACGTCAAATTTGAAAGTTCTATCTAGACTTGATTTGAAGGTATTGAAGGAAGGCGAAAATGTTAAAACAAAATTTTATCGAGCGCTTTGCATCTGTCGCGATATTTCGAAGGATGCGTTGCCTCTTGAAACATTGAATGATCTAAAGCGAGTAAAAATAGTCCAAAAAACACCGGTTAGAGTACTGCACAGACGACCTCTCAGCCCCAGAATACGTTTAATATACGAAATGAGAGCTCGCTGGGCAAAGCCTCAGGAATTAAAGAAATTATTGGATACCGCGAGTGAAGATCCCAGCGTGTTTTTTGTATTGGATATTAAAACACAAGCGGGAACTTACGTAAAAGAATTTGTGCACGGCGATTTTGGACGGACTAAACCAAGTTTATGTGACATTCTTAATACCGAAGTTGATATCGTCGCGTTGGACGTGACAGGTATTAATTTAAACTGGCCATAGATATTATTTAATACCTGCAATATTTTTTATATGTAATTGTAAAGAATGTAAATACAATTACAGTGTTTCTACGCTAAATGGATTCGTTGGAATCAATTAAAATAATCAACTAAACCTTTCCTTTCAGTCGTCCTTTACATTCGGTCATATTTATTATATAATAATAATAATAATAATAATATAATAAGACTAAATATTTTACATTAACGCGCATCCTTGTATTTCAGAATCCAAAAATGTTTTTTAACCGCGGCCATAGAAATCCTTTCTGAGCTTTTTCGTTTAATTAACTGCAATTAAAATATTAATTATGATTCGTGGAAACTAAAAAGTACAAGAAAAAATTACCTTTGATATAAGATCTTTAGCTCCAGGTGTAATGGATTCTGGCCAATTTATATTTAAAGTTTTTATTTTAACGTAAGTTTCCTGTTGCGAGTCGCTAAGAAACGGTGGCGAACCGACTAAGAACTCGTAACAAAGAATACCCAAACACCAGTGATCGACGTATATGTCATAGGTTTGTCCTGTTACCATTTCCGGTGGTAAATAATCCAGTGTTCCGCACAGCGTGTTTCTCCTACAGTTATTAATATTTTTAATAGTCGTTCGATTGAAATTTGTTGTTTTATCCTTTGATTACTCCATGTAGAACTCACTTGGAAGATGGCGCATGAACAGACCATCCAAAGTCGGCTAGCTTTACATCGCCGGAAAACGTAAGTAACAAATTTTCAGGTTTTATATCTCTGTGAATCACGTTATTCCTATGACAATATTCCAACGCATCCGCGACTTGATAAGTATACTTTGCAGACCTAACAAAACGATGGTTAATTAAAAATAAGAGCATTTGTTAAGTAAATTGTGAATTACTTTAGAAGTACGTACAAATGTTCACTGAATCTCTCGTTAGGCTGACGTTTTAATTCTTTGTACAATTCTCCTCCAGCTGCGAATTCTAATACAAGATAAATACGTTTATGATCATGGAAATATGTCAACATTTGAAGAATATGAGGATGTCTGAAAATAATGTATCGTAATAAACTCAAATAGAAATAAAAGGAATAAATGATTACAAATAAGCATTTACCTTAAATGCGTTTGAATTTCAATTTCACGCATTGCTTGCTTTTCAACACGTCCCTTTATCAACTCTACCTTGTACAGAGTTTTCAAAGCGACCATATACTGCGTGCTTTTCTCTCTCGCCAAGTAAACACGACCAAATTTACCACGACCTAAAGGTGAGCCGATTTCAAAATCATCTATGCTCCACAGATACCTGCGCAAGGGATATTTTTTTTATAAAATAATAGTTTGTAGAATAATGTCTAGAACAGTTTTTGCAACTTACTTTGGACCTCTTGCTTCGATGTGATCTTCCATTTTATATAAAGTATTAAGAACAGCATCTTTGTACTCTGATGGAACATTGGCAAGAGGTTTATCCGCTTTGAAATGCATTGTGATTAATTATATCCTAAAAAATGTTCACTTTTAGTATATTGGTAGTATATTATACTTCTTGTTCACCATGAATTTACATATTTAAAATATTTCACGTTAGTAGTACGTTTCTCGCTTATATAAAGAGAAATCGTATTACATTTTACACGTAATATGCTTCAATGTACCTTAAAATAACTTTTGACAACAGATTCACTCGATTCCCACGAGTTCCCACATTGTAACTGACATTTTTGATTCAAATCTTTGAACATGACTCATCGACCTAAGCGACATCTGACTAGCACTACTACTTTAAAAAAAATATATAATTTTGAAAAATCCACAAATTCGCATTGGAGAATTACATTTTGAAGACTTGTCATAAATAAATCATTTAATTCGAACTATGAAGCTTTTATACTGATCGCGTATGCATCATCGAAGCGTACGTGTGCGAATTGTAATTTTTTACAAAGTTTCCCGTCTACGTTGCTCTATATCTTGTACTTTCCATTGATCATCAACTATAAAATAGTGTCTGCTGATCAATTTTAACGTTTCGAGCAGAATTTCTCACAGAAATTTTTTGAATCAAATCCACAATGGTAATTAAGCGTGTTTATAATTAATTATAGCTGTATAAGACAGTCAATTAAACCATCGTACAAGTATTTACTTGTTTCTATACAATTTTGTTAAGACAAATATCGCTTTATGTGGTTATTGTTATGAAAATAATTCGCGTTGTGCATAAAAGAAAACTTGTTTCAATCGCATACGTGCTTCATTTCATTTTCTCTTTTTAGGGTAACGAAAGCTCACTGCCTATGGAACTATGTTCAAACTGTAAGTCAATATCGAACATTATTTTTGATACGTCAAAATAACCTATTCCGTTTTATCGAGTTTCTTTATTTGACAATAAATAATTGTATTCGCTTTACAAACATGCTGTGGCCATGGTTTGAATAATATTTACTAAAAATAATCTTTGTAAACCTGCATTTATTTTTCAGTTCCTGTATCGCTTATGATTTATTTTTATCACTAACTAAACATAGTACTTGTACCAGGGACCATGATTGTTCTTTATAGTACTATGATAAATACATTATTACATTATAAAAACTGTTTTTTAACATTGAAACATCAATATCACAGTTGACGTCGACGAAATTAGAAGACTAGGGAAACGGTTTCGGAAGCTAGATCTGGATAACAGCGGCGCTTTAAGTATCGACGAATTCATGTCATTACCGGAATTACAACAGAATCCTTTGGTTCAACGCGTGATAGATATATTCGATGCTGACGGTAACGGAGAAGTGGATTTTAAAGAATTTATTCATGGTGTTTCTCAGTTCAGTGTTAAGGTATTAAAAATTGATCTATAATTCAAAAGGATTGAATAATGTATTAAGAAACACTTTCTATGTTTGTTCTATAGGGTGACAAAGAGAGCAAATTAAGATTTGCCTTTAGAATTTACGATATGGACAACGACGGTTTCATAAGCAATGGAGAACTGTTCCAAGTTTTAAAAATGATGGTAGGCAACAATTTGAAAGACACGCAACTTCAACAGATCGTCGATAAAACGATTTTGTTCGCCGATAAAGACGAAGATGGCAAAATTAGTTTCGAGGAATTTTGTTCGGTAAGTACCGATTTCGAAGTAATCGGAATTAAAATTATTTAACATGTTTGAAATGTATGGTTTCAGGTTGTTGGTAACACAGATATTCATAAGAAAATGGTGGTTGACGTTTAAATAATCAAAGTCTGTAAAAACTATTCGATACCTATATATGGTAATATCAATTTAACTTTATAAATTCAATACTAACAAGAGATTTATCGGATACGTATAAGTAATCAAACTCTCCATGTAGGGTGAAATCATGATCGTTACTATGCCTTCAATTAAACTACGTTCCACATAAGTTTATCACTGTTAAAGTTTTTTTTTTATAGTATAACTTATATCAAAGTTTATCGGCCACAAACTTCCTAAGATTGTGCACATCTGCTAAGTACTGTACAATTTTAATGTTCCATACGAACATTTTCTGTTACGTTACGTATTTATTTTTAGTTGATATATCGCAATAATTTTGTTATTATCGTGTAAGTTTATTTAATTAATGTAAAGAAACGGTGAAGTTATTTTGAAATATCTCCGGGAAAATATGTGGACGGATCATGTAAAAAGATATATTTTTTTTTCTGGTAATGTACAATACGTATAGTAAAAAGTTAAATTTTTCGCTGTGTTTCTTTAGTTTTTCGATAAAATATTAGAATCGGAACTGGAACATCCTATTTATATTGTACTATGAAAGCCATTACGTTAGATGCTATAAATAATGAATCTATATAAAGTTTATAATTGGTTCCAAGATTAATTTTTGTATTATATATATTCTTTTTAACTACTGTAAGTTGTGCATTCGAAAGGGACACGCGTTATTCGATCGATTAGCGTTAACATCGGAGATGTTTTCAACTTTAGGACAATGAATCTTATCGTAGAGATCTGTTTTTACTACAATTGTGAATAAGACTGAAAAAACAAATGAAACTTTTGTAACTTTTGGGTGCACAATTATCTCTTATATTTACTCCTTGTACGATTATTACTGAGATAACATATTATTAATATACCGATTTATTGTATTATTACGATTATTTATAACTGTAAGTGTTACAAAATCTTAATGTCCAAAGTTCAAAATCGTAAGCTATGTTGAAATAAAAATCTATATAACAATCTATAAGTCTGATATTTAAAAACCTATTTATATGTTTTTAGTACTTTAATTACTTAAATCCTTACGAAAGTATCCTTATAGTAATGTTATGTTTAGATAACAAAATATGATTTCTATGTATGAAATGTTAGTTTACAGTTGTTAGTGTCAAGGTGAAATACCTAATATGGCTAGAACGGTACAGTTAATAATGTCATCCATTCGTAAAAGGTGTCAATAATTATTTTTATGTATGGAAATTATTTACAATTGTAGTTGTATTTGGTTCAACGAGAAAATTCTGTAAACAAAACCACGTGATTTATGACGCACGCTCATTGGTCCATAATGTTTCGGGCACAAGTGTATCATCCGATGCATAGTGGGTCGATAAATATATTCTATATGTACTTTTATGTATTTTTAACTCGTGTAAATTGTATCGAATCCGTCTTTATTCGTGGCAATTCGAAGTACAATGCCCGTATAAGTTACGTACAGACACGTGGTTATGTTCACGCTGAACGAAGTATAACTTTATACAGGGTGTCCCAAAAATGTTGTAACACCTTGAAAGGGGCGGTTCGGAAGGTGATTTGAAACAACTTTTTCCTTAGCGAAAATGTTGTCCGAGGCTTCTTTAAGGAGATATTAATAAAAAAATCCGACAAATCAGAGCGCGCGGTTTTCGCTTAATATCTCCTCAACGAAGCTTCGGACAACATTTTCGCTAAGGAAAAAGTTGTGTGAAATCACGTCTAAACCACCCCTTTCAAGGTGTTACAACATTTTTAGGACACCTTGTATTTTCCCTTATGTGTTGTTTACAATGCATAAACGGTTTTCTCTTCAAAGTCATGGAAACGTTAACCAATGACGTTGTTTCCTATATTTCATAAACTAATTCAATTTATAATCGTATACATCTAACCAAAGAGTTCCTAATAAAGAATATGAAATTAAGAAAAGCGAGTAATATTATCAGCGGACGAAAATTGTATTTTTTATAATTACGTCAAGAAATGTGGTTACCGTCGAATAAAATTCGTATGAAATTTACCAACGATTACAATATTATTTCCGATTGTATCCAAGATATTTGAATTTGTTTTACAATCGGAAAATATGGTAGTTTAGTTTTTCTGCGGAGACTATGAATTTAATGAGAACGCGACCATGACACGTCAGAGAAAGCGATACGAAACGAAGCGATGTTCCCATAAGACGAAGCGCAAGATCTATGACGATCGAAGAACGCGCAAACACATCTCGGATTTTCGTGCATGGTAGACCGTCCACTAATCCTGGGTTTTAGGTTCGTCATGGGTCGTGCGTAAAGTGCGTTATGGGAAAATAAATGATGGGAAAAAGCGCGAGTAAAAGGTTCTGCGCGAAATCGGTATGACGGATTTGCGGTTATTCTTCTATTGTATGCGCTTCGGCAAGTTGTCGGTCCGCGCGAGTGGAGGGTCTCGAATGGCGCTCATGTATAATCACCATCACCGGGAGTGCAATGCTAACAAGTAGTCCAGCTGACTCTGACAAAATGGTAGGGTACTCGCATCCTACGGGAGGTGATAAATTTTTACAGACGTAATTAGAAACGCCTCCGGTAACGGGGTACAATGAGTACTGATAACCATGATCAAACGAAGCCCTGCCTCAGCAAACCACCCGCGAGAATCGAGCTTAACGCCGACGAAAGCGTGTTCGACGGCAGGCGTATCAAAAAGGAACGAACTGACGTTTCTATCGAGAACGGTGATGGCACTATTAATGCCGGCGTTAACGATAATAACAAGCAAGTGCAACCGAGTCAGCGACCGGCTGCCGGCAGATTTTCGAACGGCTTCCACGACGGCGACCTACTTCAAGATATCATCGCGGCCAAGTTCACTGCTTTGGCCAACCATGGCACAGCTGCCAAGCACGATAAAATTCGGCTTATGATCGAAGATACCATCAGGTTAATTCAGATCTTTCTCTCACTTCATACCACATACAAAGCCTACTTAAAAATACAATCTTTCTCAACAAATACACCTTAACCCCTCTGTGACATGAATTTTATTTTTATTTATTTATTTATTTATTTATTTATTTAATTATACATGCATCAACTATTTGAACAGGTTATTAACAACTTACAAGGAGAGGTCCCAACTGTTACTCTTATTTTTTAATTAGCTTTGCTAGATAACAAAGAACTAAAGCTAATAGTATATAGTTTTGAGGGCAGATGATTTGTAATTTATAAAATATACAACATTCAAACAATTACTATTGTTCATCACAAGAAATATAGCTACTAATGTCAGAAGCAACTGTGACATGGCCAGTGGCTACAACAAAAAGAAGATTTGTATTAAGAGGCTTACACTTTATCAACCATAAACAGTAGCCCATTTTTTCAATGTTTTATGTCATTTAAACAATAAACTGTCTGCCCCCAAAACTATATATTATTAGTTTTAGCTTTGCATCATCTACCACTGTGTAAAAGCCAACTAAAGAGTCAGGGTCACGCTTGGGGATGTCTCCTTGTTAGTCTCTCACAAGTTGGAACTGCTTAGAATAAAATTATTCATGGAATTCAAATTATCTTACATAGAGGAAGAGTTTATGCTAATTTTACATTGATTTTTGTACATAGCGAAGACGCAAAAACACGCATTCAGGATATCTTTTCACAAATTGAACAACTCAAAATAGAAGAAAAATTATTATTGTACCTGAAACTTCCATTATCATTGACTAATACCGGGGGAACCGTTGATCCTTTGAGACAACCATTAAATCCGTTAGGAAATCGCTATGAAATTCATCAAACTATCATGTGGATTAAGACACATTTGGAAGAAGATCCCGATGTCTCTTTACCAAAACAAGAAGTATATGATGAATATAAGTAAGAGTTCTAAATCTTGCATGTCTTAAGAATTATCATATAGATTTATCAAATCAATTTGTAAAAATTTATAAACAAGCATAGATTTGTGTTGTCAACAATAAATTGTATCCTAAAGTGTATTATAATTTGTCATATTATTTTATTCACAGCATGTACTGTATGCGGAATTCCATGAAACCCTTATCGACGGCTGATTTTGGAAAAGTAATGAAGCAAGTATATCCACGAGTTCGACCGCGCAGGCTAGGCACGCGAGGCAATTCTCGATACTGTTATGCTGGAATGCGCAAAAGAGTTAAATTGGATCCTCCGACATTGCCTAATATAACTGGAACTCAAACTGTAAGACATAAAATTGATAAAATTTCAGTAATAACGGATTTGAAAATAGACTATATATTTAATGTTAAAATTTAATACGATTCTATATTTTAGAGCGACGATGTAGATGAGAATATTACCGAAGAAATGTTGGGAGCTGCGTCTGCATTGATCAGAGAATGGGCAGAAAATCTGTTGGGCTTGAAATTTCCAACTTTGAGTGCCTTAGCACGTCATCTTGTTGATAATCTTTGCGTTGATACTCGATCTCTGGCTGCTATATGCATATTGTGTGCTTCCGGAGATACGTCTAATACATCGACTAAAGGTTTGTTAATTCTTAGATATTCTAGACAAAGCTAGTCCTATTCAAAGTATGTTACAAATAATGTTATATATTTAGAGTCAACTACAGATTTACGTGGAACATCTCTCAGTGGAAAATCTGGAAAACTCCGAGAAGCACAGTTACAATTGCAACGAAAATTACAGCAGCGAGAACACATAAGGGATCAAAAGCATCGTCATCTCGATACTGTTATGCAGGTAGAAAATGTTTTAATAAAACTTATGTAAAGGATGTTTGTTTACATAAAATAATTTTTATACGCGAATACTAATCGTAGACATCGTAATGTGTAAAAACTGTTTCAGAATCAGAACAAAGAGAAAATTGTCGATAATAAAACTGGGGCAAACAAGGGAAACAAGAAAACTAAGTCCAGTCAGTCATCTCAAGGTACGAATGTATCGAGTGGACAGAACACATTAACTAAGTTCAGTTTATCTGCTGTAGTAACCAATCGGCAGAAGAAAGTTCTTAAAGCTAGTAGTCAGCTATGTAACATCTCTCTGGAATCCAACTGTGATAATATAGTGGTACAATCGATCGAAGGCGTACAGAATAATAGCAACCCTAGTGTAGTGATGACCAACTGCGTAAATACACAGCGTGATGTCAAACCTAGAAATTCCAGAAAGCGTGCCAATCCAATCGTATCGAATCAGCCATCAGAGACCAGCCCTGAGAAACAAACGAAACTCACGGAACAACAAATGCAAGAGAATGTAGAGCATTCCAACGCGTTGTTGCCTAAACTTGCATCTATACAACGTCCCGAGAAAATATCAGTGATACTAGCTGGTAATTTGAAGCCTACCAAGTGCAAAGTAAACGAGGCTGTTATCAATCAGCCTCCTAAAAACTGTGATATCGAAACATCAACATGTTCCAAAAGTTGCGTTAAAGTAAACGGTTGTCCTAACAATCTTGATCCTAGTTTGAACACAACGGAAGAATCAACAATCTTAACTAAAGATCAGATTCGATTATTGCAAGAAAATTCCAATCTCATAGGTAAAACTGAAAAGCTTTGTTCGATCGATTCGGACTCTTTAGATGATTATTTAAACGGAGGTAACAATTCCCAAGAGCAAGAGGAGGAATTATTGCAGTATTTTCAACAAAGTAGCTCGTCGAGTTCAGACATGGAAGCTAACGCTATCGCTATCGACGAACAAATATCAAGATCTGACAAAGTATCGCAACTACGACTAATATTACAACAAAATTTAAAAGCAGGAACCATGCATGCACCCGTCGATGTATTACCCGCTGCTATTATCAGGCAGAACATCGAGAAACGTGAAATTACTCAGAAACATAACTTGATATTACCAACATTGCTAAATCATTCGAATCAAAGTAATACCAGACGTAGAGTCAGTTTCGAAACGAATGTCGTGGAACATGTACAAGATACAAACGTTATCGCTAACACAGTACCGCAAAGTCCGAATACACGTCGTAGAATATTTAATTTTACACCGATATCGCCAGGACCACACTCGCCCATTAATGGTCGCGCTTCCAAGTCTAATTCTGCAAATGCTAGTCCATTTGTTTCACCGCGTAATACGCCTGTTCCACGCTCGAGAAGTAATTTGCAAGCGAGTAGTTCCAGGGCACGTGCTCACAAATCGTTGTCACGTTCGATATCTTGTAGCATGCCTTACACTAGTAAAAACGATACTTTCGTCGTCCCAACGAGTGGTCCAGATTTAGTTAGACAAGCATCCACACCACAGTTGTCATTGATTTCTACAAAATCATCGGAAGTACAGGTTGACAGCGGTACAACGCAAATGTCTGTTACTTCGAAAAGAGAAGGACGGGGACCGCAATGTGCCGCATTTTTATCTTCCGATTTAGCACCACAGAAACAATTGCTGATCAACTATCCGAGTCAAGAAAATTTGCAAGAAATTAAAAATGTTTATCAAAAGAACCACCCCGATCAAGAAATCAGCGAATTGTTTCACGGGAATAAACAGTTTACCAACGAACTCTACAGATCGCAATCAGTTCCGTTACATAGAATGGTCAATCCTGCGCTAATGTCACCTATTTCAACTCAACATTGTTTATCATTTCAAAGTCCGAGTTTTAATCCGTCTACAAGCAGTTCTATAGCGCCTACACCAGTACCTAGCGAGTTTAACGATTTTGGATCAATCGGTCAATCAGAAGGAACTTCGACGTATTTACTTGACGACGTTGATCCAAATTTCATGTCGGATGATCAACATTTCTTAATAGGCGATAAAGAAATTACGTCTGAAAACATAACAAATATATTGAATATTTTGGGCGAAGACGGGACACAAAGCTTACAAATTTTACCAGAACAACCCACGGAAGAAGGTTTAATAGAAAGTAACGCGATAGTGTTGGATGCTTTACCAAATTCAAACTTAAACTTATCGGAAGATGATATGTTGGACCCGTCAAATGTACTCGATATTCCAGTCGGTGGAGCCTTACAGAAAATAATACAATCTCGCTCCTATCCCAATACACCGCTACCTGTGCCAGTATCTACATATACACCATCTTACGCCGAAGACAGTAACGGATCAAGATCGTATCCTTCAACACCGTTGCATACAGTTCAATCGCAAGAAACTTATCAGGAGACTAATGAACCGATGCTTTCGAGTCCTACGCTTAATTCTTTGAACTTACATAACGAAAATGGAAATGAGTCTGCTTCTGGTAGTTTGTGTAGAAATGTTGTGGATTTGCTTGAGGCTAATTTTCTCGGAGAAACTGACACAGAAACAAATGATTTGGACCCACTTGGTAATTTCGATGAATTGCAAGACGTTGATTCATTAACACCTTTGTTTAACGAAGTGACAGAGCCTAATCGTTGAAAGCGTACGCAAAAGTAATTTGTGGATCTTAAAGTTTCGCATAGTGATCTACCAAAGGTTGAAAAAATAATTCAACTCGTATGTTTGTATGACTTCTTTGAACGATGATAATACTTTGCATAAGTATTTTACTTTAATACGCGAAGCGTTATAGTGGCAATACGATAAACAAGTCTTAGTTCCTTGTGCTAATATCAAATAATTAGTGTTACAGTGATCAAATAATTATGTATTTGATCTTCTTTCGCAACAAATATCTATTTTATATTCAATGGAATTACAATAGCAAAACTTTGACTTGCTTCCTTTCGCAGTTTTGTCATGATTTACTTGGCTTTGTAATTTTCGACGATTTCTCGAATTATTAAAAACTCTACTGCCTATATAATACATAATAGAAAAATTGATACCGATTGGAACTAATGTTATCAATTATCTTCTTAATTGCAGTACCGTAAAAAAATAACGATGAGAGCAGCTCACGATGGGAAAATCAGATACAAAAGAAAATATTAAAAAATTTGAGCGGTAAATTAAGAATAACTTCGAAGCAGTTATAAGTGTACAATTCAATTTAATCTATAAAGAGCAGAAAACAAAGTGCGTAACTGCCAATTATATTCATCTTAGACTTGTGTCGCTTATTCGTTAAAGTAAGTAAAAGAAAAAAAAACACTGTGATGCAAATGTAAATCTCTGAAGATTGTATATTTCTTAAATTTGCCACTAGTGAAACTAAAAGTGTAAATGTCTCCAGTGGAGTTTGAGGTGTCTTTGGTGGAACATTGAGTTTGCAAGTGTGAAAAAAGACGAAGAAGTTGCTCAAACAGAGCTATCGTCGCTGTGAAGCATTTGAGATTCGAATAAGTGGAAGTTGATTTTATATAAATACTTTATATTCATCGTTTCGAAACGTTTGTTTCTAAGTCATTTAAGAACGCGTTATTGCGACTTTGTTATTCAAGCGTTTCTAAGAAATATTTACGAATCACCTGCTGGACATTGGTGAGCTTCTTTTTACATAACAATCGGTATTGAACCCAGTACATAATACATTTTCAAACCAAGAAAAGTTAATGAGTGTGTATATAAATTTGTAAATGTTTAACATCTTCGTATTTTTATAGATTTTAAAATGTAAAGTTTCTATTTAATTGGCAAATCACATTTTAAATCAGAAGTACTCAAACTTCGTAAGTTTAATGTTATTATTTTAAAGTTTTACTTGACTTTTTTTCAATTGTATTTTTTTAATATTTTAAATTTATTGTTCGAATAGCTATCGTGTTTAGAATTGTTATAAATCCGTTACTCAGTATTTTTAATAAATTCCAATTTTCGTATGGTACGCGCCGTATCGCTGATTTTTTTTTTTAAATTAATTTTTGACGCGCGATCCCAACAAATTTCGCCACACCTGTTATTATCTCTTTTTTTTTTTAGATAGCGTATCAAACTTTTGTTCCAGATCTGGTTTTTATATATTCGTTGGATCACTCGAAGATGATCAAAATTTTGACTATTAACTTAAAAGTTCGAGGACTTGTGTTTTTTTAAAAAAAAAAAGTTATGCTTCAGAAAATTTAAAATTGTACATTTAAATTCCGTACTGGATTCTGCATCGATAATCATACGAAATAATGATTGCTATGGCGGATCTTCCTGGTATGTCGTTTTGTTTGTTAAAGAATTTCGAATTACCATAAGTACACCGCCAATTTATATTTTTCTATGGCGCTCTCGACGAGGATTTTACGAATTGGATAGTTTAATCAATTTTTATTCCTACGCATCGTGATTACTTAGCTTTCGAAGCAGAAAAGTTAGATATTTCATAGAATATCCGCGTAACGTACTTATCGTTCGCGGCTAATGAATTTCATCGTTTACAATTATTTTTCACGTCGAAGTCTTAAAGATGCGCTTCACATCGTTAAGTATTAGATTTTTATAAAATACGGGGTAAACGTAGTTTACTCGCAAATGATCACACACCCACGACATTTGCAAAAATTCTGTATTATCATTCTGTAAAGGATTATATGGCGTTAAATAGTTAACACCATGTAAAATGTTATATAGTATGATTTTTGTGAAATCTTGTTTTTTAAAAGTTACTATTGACATACGAATAACATGAACCAAATTTTCTGTTCTTATATCGCTTAACTTGTGTAGTAACCGAATAAGAGATTAGCGCGACAATAAAAACCGAAGATAATTATTTATTTGACGATTACATTTTTGTACAGGTAATATCGATTTCTTTGTATTTGTTTCTCGGTATGTTTAATTAACTAAGAAAGAATTTTGAAAACGTTATTTGGTTCATGCTATTACTCTACAAGGCACTACATTGCTAATACCAGTTTTTAATCGCCGTTTCACATACCGTAACTAAATAAATAAACATATGTGGGAATCTGAAAAATGTCGAATCTTGCGAATTTAAATAATGTACGATGATTTAAAATTTACAACATGCGTGTCTGTATTAACCTTTTGAAGCATACATCGAGTAAACGTAATAATCTAAATGTTCGAAATATATTTTTTAAATTTGGAGAAAAATTCATTTCGATTGAAAATAATCATGAAGCATATTATGAAGTAACGAGACGAACAAAACGAAAATTGAAAAACAGCAGAACATTAAGTCTGAGGTATTATAAAAATATGAATAAAGTATATTTTTCTATGGCTATTTTGATTCAACATTATCGAAAACGAAGTAAATTAGAAATGAAAAGAGTAAAATATTAGTGACACTTCAAAGGGTTAATGAACATTTTTTGTAATCATAATACAAACATTCGTATAAGCAAACCAAACTTGGCTACCCACACAGTCTGAAATACATTGAACACACTTTTTTTATAAAATGAGTTATGCGTAGTGCAAATATTTTATAATATTGAACGACCATAAGACGGTAATCTTATTGTAAGGCGAGTTGTGAATTGTACAGACGCAAACATCCGATGAACCAAGTAGTGATTTGGAAAAAAAACGTCGACCTTTCAGGTTGTGAAAAAGAAAAAAATGACGAAAAAAAGGAATATAATCGTGCAAGTATAGAAAGTTATTACACAAAATGAATAACTTTCGTTAACTTGACCAAATGATCGAAGATCTTGGAAATTTCTGTAATAGTATAGCTATTTGTAACTCGTAAGTAAAGTCATGTATTACGATATTACTTGTTGTTATACGCACAAAAGATTTTAGATAGGAATTATTCAATATTATATCGTATAATTAGAGTTTGTCTGTGCTGTTCGATTAATGATTTAAATTTATCTAGATACAGATATCGAAGCATTTTCATGCAACTAGTGCAATAACTATATTTTTGTTTGTTTGTTCGAAAAACTATTCTCATCGATAGATATTTACGATACATATTATTATAAATATCGAACGTTGCTCATGCAATTAAGAACACGAGAATGGAAGTAAATCGTCAAAATTGATACTGATATCTAGAAGTGTAACGTAACAGCACTGATTTATAAAATGAAAATGCAGAAACAAATTATATTGAAACATGTATACATACATATTTACACGAACAGTCAATAGATATAGCTATATTTAAACAAAGTAATAACAACAACAGTCTTGTCTATATGAAATCATGGCTATCATTTTGCATTATACAATGTAATTTGAAGGGAAACGAAAATATTCTAACGAGACAAGATTGTTTGAATGGGCATAGTATAACTAAATTACAATACAATCTAACTTTGCACTGTATTTTTTGCCTCCATCGGAAGTTCATCCATCTATAAGTTATTATCCGTTACGATTCATCGGTGATTTTCTATTTCTTACAAAAATCAATACTTAGTTCCATAATGCGGCGTAATATATTTCTGTACGAGTGCAATTTCAATTAAGGTAGTATTTCTTTCAACGATACAAATTTCGAAGGAGAAAAAAATGGGGTACAAATGGATCATTACTCGGATATTAATAATATTGCATGGGTAGGACAATTTTATAGAACAGTAAAATGTATGTCGTAATTGTAGTATGCAATAATTTATCAATTGTCACTATTAGAAATACGTAGAACGGAATAATTTTCATAAAACAAGATCCATCGATCATCCTTTTTAAAAATTGTTGTCGAACCTCTATTAATTTGATTTGTTCAAATTTTATGTGCCTGTATCATTATATTTAAAGAACGTTCTATACATCAATTACTAAGGTACATTGACATTTGCAAGAATATGAAACAAGTACAATGCTTGCAAGTTACTTTTATAATAGTTATCGAAAACAAAACTCGCCTTGCTTATTTTCCGTCAAATATTAATAATATAAATAATCTTGCTACACTTAAACGATCTGCGTTTTGTTTATTCTCAACGATACGTATTACTTTCGATACATGAAAGGTGGACCTGGCGATATTATGTGGCTACCGCTGCTCCAGAGGCTTATCGATCTTCGAAGGATCGTTTTTTTGGATTCTTCAAGATCCATTTGCTTCGTTAAAAAAAATTCCTCTACCCATTTTGTATGGTCGAATGTCAGGTGGACTATGTTAAGCAATAGGAAAGCGGTATTCCTATTGCATGTGCTAGTGTCACTGGCAATTTAATTTGCTTTGTAAATAAAAGTTCTTTTTTAGAAAAAAAAAAAGTGTTGCAAAGGAATATGAGAAAGTAACTCCCTTTTGATCCTTTATAAGTTAATTATCCAACTTTGAATTACTAAAAGATATTTTAAAGATGATGCGCGAGTCCCTTGCATCATCTTCCAAATATCTGGGAAAAATTAATAAAATTTCACCATTGTGTCCAAGAAATTACACTTGTAACGCGCGGCATTACACGCACCCACTTGTTTTGTTTTAAGTTTATTTATTGTACATCGGTTTCTCAAATTTGTAAAATTATGTTACATCTTATGAACGCAGTCCACTTTATACAAACTATTTATCTAAAGAAAATAAGTTTCAAATTTTTGTTTTGCGAATATCCTCGAACAAAACGTATTCTAATATTCTCGAATTCGGAATAAAACTAACAAACTCGAATTGGTAATGGCAATCAAAATATGTTAGATACGATAGATTTAGCTAAGATAAATAATCCAACCACATCAACCATAGTGCAATTCTATGCAGTTCCGAGTCTATTGAATCTCAGCAAAAAAGAAGATAGTTGTATCAAAATTAAATTTACATGAATTTTTACAGGAAGCACAATATATATTAATGATATAAGTAATTAAATAAAACGATTGAACTTACATACCTTAAAGACATAAATCGAAAAGTTCCATTACATTTTGATCAAAATTTAATAATTCTGCGTGTATTTCAAATTGTAAAACGTAAGTAATACAATAAAGAAGTATAAAGTATTATCATAAAATGTGATAATATACCAAATAATTTATTTTAATCTCTATTTAAAATTGAATTTCGATATCCTAATTATAATACATGAGAAGATGGATCTATAATTGGTGGCTGATTATTGATAGTTTCAATTCGAGTTGTCTTTCCGTTCACTATATTTTTTATATCTTCAGCGTCTAATGTTTCGTATTTAAGTAACGCGTCTGCTAATTGTTTATGTTCTTTTGCGTGTACCTTTAATATTGTCTTCGCGCGTTCATACGATTCCTGAAAAGTAATGAAAGAAATTTAAAACTTAATATTTTTAAGTAATACGCAGAGTCATTGGTATAGTATAATGAATAAATTTACTTGTAGAAGACGTTTCACTTCGCTGTCGATGAGTTCATTTGTACTAGGGCCGTATTCGCTAGTTCCATACGATTCTAGTTTTTTAGAATCTGAATACGCTCTAAAACCAACTTTTTCTGACATGCCATAACTTTTGACCATATGCTCAGCAATAGAAGTTGCTTGCTGGAAATATATGATTATTAATACTAATTGAAAAATATATAATATATAATAAACAAAATATGTTACATACTTCAAAATCATTTGACGCTCCTGTTGTTACTTTATCAGTTCCAAAAACTAATTCTTCCGCGGCACGGCCACCCATCATCGAATCCATATTAGCTAATAACTGTGACTTTGTTATATGAAATACATCTTTGTCTCGTAAAAATGATGTCTAAAAGTCAAGGAGTAACTTGTTGTAAGCAATTATTGTAAATGTAAAATTTATGTTTTTTTGTTATAGTTTCATACTTGTAATACTTACATGTCCTAAAGAAGCTCCACGGGGTATGATAGTAACTTTATGTATTGGCACAGCATCTTTAGTGTAATATGCAACTAACGCATGTCCTGCTTCATGAAACGCTGTAATACGATTGGCTTCCTCGTCTAACATCCTCCTCTTTCCTTCTGGACCCAGTACTACTTTATCTCTAGCATATTCCAAATGTTTCATGGTTACATAATCTGCATCATTTATTGCTGCTCGTAAAGCTGCTTGATTTACCTTTAACAAATTGAACAGGTAGAGAATAAGGAAAAAAAAAGTAGAACATGAAAGTTAAAAGTAATACTTTACTCATCTATATAGGGTTCCTTCAACGTGAGCATCTAGAATATTTCCGACTCTTTTAAAAATACGAAAAAAGTCAAATGCCACGCATGCATATATTCAGATGTATGTATTATATATTCCATGGTAACGGCGGATGGTTGTGGAATATCGTTTGAACAGTGCTGCTCTAGATGTTTACGTTAAAGGAACGTGAATAAACGTTAAAGAAATACCCTGCATAAAATAATGAAAAAAAGTGTGTAAAAGAGCATACCATATTCTCTATATCAGCGCCTGTAAATCCAACAGTGCATCGGGCTAAATAGTCTATATCAACATCTCGCGTTAATATTCTTGATAAGTACAAATCTAAAATTTCTTTCCGTCCAATAAAATCTGGTATAGTTACATAAATTTCTACATCGAAACGACCAGGTCGCATCAATGCTTTGTCCAGATCATCGCGTCTATTTGTTGCGCCTAGTACTATGACACCTTCGTTTTGAAGAAATCTATTGTTAAAAGAAAAAGATTCAATATCCAATGCGTAAAGTTACGACACGCAAGAATTATAATTAACAATCAAATTGAGATTTATACGTTGAGATGGAGCATCTCTACCTTCATCGTAACAAAAAAAAAAGATAAAATGTTTACTTTACCCATCCATCTCTGAAAGCAATTGATTTATAGTTTGATTCGCGTATGGGTGAAGAACTGAATTTGTTCGTCTTCCGCCGACAGAATCAATTTCATCTATAAATATTACAGCGGGTGCTCTTTCCTTTGCTGCCTCTAAAAGAATTAATTAACCGTGAATAAATTGGTCAAACTTAATCTATGCGAGCTTAAATGAAGGATGACTCACTAAATAAATCTCTCACTCTACGTGCACCTTGTCCTACTAGAAGCTCGTCAAATTCTGGTCCAGCTGCATGAAAAAATGGTACACCAGCTTCACCAGCTACTGCACGCGCTAATAATGTTTTTCCCGTCCCTGGTGGACCCACTAATAATACACCTTTAGGTAATTTTCCGCCAAGCGCGGAGAATTTTTCAGGGCTTTTCAAAAATTCAACTACATCTTTCAACTCTTGCTTAGCTTCTTCAACCTAATTGTACAAATACAAAAATGTATACTACTTTCTGAAAGGTGAACTAATATTCATATTTTTATTTTGTTCATAGAACTATAACTTACTCCTTTAACATCATTGAAAGTTACTTGAATTGTTTCTGGATTAATCTCAGATTTTTGACCCATGGGATACTGAAATATACTTCCTGGTTTGTAACCTGTAAAAAGTAAGCTTTTATCTATTAATACCAAATTTCTTAAATAAGGCTTTTCAAAGTATTGAATCTACAGACCCGCATACAAAATTGCTAGCGCAAAGAAAATCCCAAATATTAAATTAAGTACTGTTCTTTGCCATACAGAACGTACGCGTACACGACGTTGAAGTCCTGCTTCGTATCCTTCGATAAAAGCTGATTTGATTTTGTTATGTTCTTCGGGGGACACTTCAGTACTACTCAATATATGTTTCATTCTTTCGAGATCCGATTCTTTCAAACCATGCGTATTCTGTGGAATAAAAAAGGCATTTATATTTATACAATTTAATTTATAATTGAATTATAAACTAATTACATATTGTCTTACTGTTTCTAAAGAATGAGTAATCCATTTTTTGAACCTGCTTATAATCGATGGTTGTCTTTCCAATTCTACGCTTACGTTACGCTTTGTTTTAAAACTACGGATTTGTACATGATAATTGAAAGGGTTTTTAACACAAAGAGAACATAATGTTCTGTGATACTGTTTCGATGATAAATATATAACAGGTAAAATGATCGGTTCTGTGAGTTGTGCACAAGGAAATCTTTGTTTGTTTTCTGTAAAATTTGCTCCCGATATGTAAGAAACTTTCCATTTATTATTTACTCCTATGTTTCTTTTAAAAATTCTCGCAGAAAGTTGATCTAATATTACCCAAACATTATTCTTTTTTATATCAAGCGGCGTAATTACATTGTATGTACTCAATTTATTTATCAGTAATTCCATATAACTTTTTGTTGCCTGAAATAAAACACAAAAATTTGATAGATTATTATTAGAATTTTATAATTTAATTTAATAACTTTAATGTAATAACTTACTTCTGCTAAACTATTACAAGCTGCGTCCTCTGTTGTTGTTTTGAATTCATTTTGTCTCTTAACTTTGACTGGGAATGCTGTAGATTTCGGATTTACTGCTGAAGTTAACTGTGTCAGATGATACAACACCTAAAAATGTAACATCATGATAGATGATTTTATAATATTTCATTTTTCTACATTTTCTTTTCAAAAGTAAAATAAAAGTATACATATATACATAGAAATCATAGCACAACATTCTTCAAATTGATCTCCACCATATTGTAAAATTAAATATAAAACAATGATATAAATGTTAGCAGTATATGCAGTCACAAGATGAGGTTATGAAATAGAAAAAAAACGTAAGCAAATTTGAATAAAAGACTCACTTGTAAAGTTTTTAATTGCGTGGTGAAAAATAATATGGTGAGCTATTTAATAAACTTAAAAAAAAACCTAACACGATTCTAATACGTTTTTGTGGTAGCATACGAACCTGATTATGCGATTGGAAAGCAAACATTGAAAACCAATCCTTTTTAACAGACGTAACGAAATAGATAAAACGATCACTTTTAAAATAATAACGAATCCAATTCCTTAGAGTTTTGCTACGATAAATTCGAAATGATTAGATTACATGACATCAATCTCTAGCAAGAAACATAGTTTGATGCTATAAGGGCAACGGAAATGAGGCTCTCCGCTCTGCGTGTAAACTTCCGAATATTTAAAAGCAGCTCAGAGTTCAGAGAACATCGAAAATTGGGCACGATATTGTTTTGAAATTTCTTCGTAAAACGCATTCTTCTTTTAAACTCGAGATTTTATTATGCATGAAAAGAACACATTTTAGTTTGTAGTTGAATTTCTTAGGTAATAATTACATTTCAAAACAACTGGTTTATGACTTCTAGACGTACTTCATTTATTTTTAAATAATATATAATTATATAATGTTTATTAAAGTCATATTGAAACAGTTCGATAATTATATAATATTTATGTATTTATTTTTAAAGCCATAAAACAGGTCATTTTGTATATTAATAATTTATAACATAAACGTAAAACATTTATTTATTATTCGATTTTATCGAATTGAATAAAAGTCAAAGTAAATTGTAGAACAAGAAAGTATTTTAGAAAACATTTTATTTCACATTGTATTATATTACAATAATTAACCTCCGCAAAACAGACTTAATATGTAATTATTATTTAATTTGGAATAGTATGGTTAAATATATATATTTTAAGGTTATATAAAATATTATGAAAATGTTTAAATAAGATATTAAATTCAATACACATAGATATGTAAATATGTTCTTGAAAATAACATTTATTTACTTCAACAATGTATAAAAACATGAAAATGTATAGTTTTTAACGCATTAAAAGCAGATCAATCAATGCAATCAAACCTATTTTATATATATATATATATATAATATATGTAAAATTTGTAATCATTTACTGTGTAATTTTTCGATACAAACACTAAGCTGTTGGAGACGTTGCAATAAATTCCGCATATTAGTACTCGAATGACGAAGATCCGATTGATCTCCACCTATTTCTTGTTTTTGACCTAACTCAAAATGAAGTCTAGCTAATCGTTCCTGTTGCTCCCGTATTTCAGTCATTTGCTCCATACTGCAGTCTTTCCCTAAATTAAAATCAATACTATTTATTTACAAGATTCCTTAATAATATAGATTTATGTTTTGTGTATAACAGTATACTTAACGCACCAAATGCTCGTAAACTGCCGCTATGAAAATCTTCCAAAAGCTGTAACAAAGCTTGTTCCATACGCCGAACATCAGGAACTTCTGATAAAAAGCAATGATGTTTGCATGGCGCCATACCTTCATTTTATAATACCAAAAGACAACCAAACAAACTGATGTAATGAGAATGTACAAACTTAAAAAGGTGAGCATGAAAAATTATAAATTCGATGTAAAAGGATATAACAAAAATAATACGGATATTACTTATAGCATAAAACTCATAGTTGAAGTAATTTCAATTAAAATAAAATTAATATAAATACATTTAGAAATATTAGTTTACTAACTTATAGAATTACCTTTATGTTGACGATTAATTCTCGAAGGTTCAGGTCGATTTGGTCTTTGTTTTTCTTTTTCGTTCATATAACTTAGACGCGATTGATTACCATAATTTGAAAGATTCACAGCTCTTCCAGAAACCATAGATCCTTGACTTGTCGCTTGACCAGAACTACCTTTGCTAACAATTGGTGATGTTTGCGTATTACTTTCCCATAATATTTGTTGCTGGAACAAGTAGCTTACACTGTTATCATTTATTAATTTTATATGAAATTACGAATATATAGAAGCAAATATAAGCTCCATACCGATACGTGAGAACTATGTGTATCATTTTTACTTGGATGTTTAGACCTTGCTGGTGTCGAAGGTGGTGTGGCTTCTCCACCATGACTTAATGGTTCTTCGCATTCTTCCTCTTGAACTAATTGTTGTAGTTCGCCACATCCTGATTCTTCAACCATTTTGATAACTTATAACGTTAACAAAATATTTACTTGTTCTCCTGTTGTTAAGGTTGAACAATTTCCTGCAATTTCGATCCTGTCATTATGTCAGTATAATTTTAAGTAATAAATTTGAATGAAATAAATAATATCAATTATAAGTAACATTAAATAATAAATAAGATCAAATATTATTCGATACTACAAAGATAACCTCGAAAAGGTTACATGGAATTAGAGGTTATGCGCTTACTATCGTTATCGCACAAGTTATATCGTTATAAAATATAATTGCATTAACACACAAAGAAAATAAGAAAACTTATGCATCAACCCATGTACCCTTTAAGGTTACATGCCCAATGTAAATACAGAGATGTCAAATTCGGTCAGCGGATCTCCGTGTCGACGATGGTGCCATCTGCCTCTGCCTATGTACTTATCAATCTATCATACTGGAGATGACGTTTGATATGGTTTGATAACGTTGATGACAAGCAATGATGAGTAATAATGTAAATTGACCGTGTAATTTTCCCAGGCCACTTGGAAAATAATAGTACAATGCTTCAACCGGTATTACCAGAAAATTATTTGTCAATTTACGTTATAAGGTATATCATTTTTCACAATCATAAATATCGATAAATTGTTACTAACAAATGATTTCTATTTATTTAGCCTCGAAGGTAACATCACAAACATTAAAGCAAAACCAGACTTTACTATAGAAATAATCAAAACAGCTGCAGTGAATTATTTTTATAGTCATGATAAAACAAAATTACAGCTCCAATTCCGCTTAGTACATTCATCCAAGTTTAAACAACTTGTAGATGACCGTAATATAAACGACGAAGAAATTAGCGAAAATGGTAAATTATCAGTGTAAAGATATTAGGTTATAACACGTGAAATGTCCATTTGATCTTCTACTTTTGTAGATACATTACTATTAGTTGAAATTCGTCCAGTACCTGTAAAAGAAAACATGCTCGAAGAAACATTAAAAGGTCCAAACGAAGAAGCAATATTACAAGTAACTAGTAATTTACGAATATGTAATCCACCTCGACCTATGTCATACAGTGATTGTTGTGTGGAAGTAAGTATATTTAATTACAATGTTTTTCATATAATAGAAATTAAATTTTCAAGTTTTACATTATAGCTTCAGAGCGAATTACGGAAAATCTTGATATCTCTTGTAAAAGCATCAGCAAAAATTTTGATGTATAGTTCAGAAACGCAAAGGCTTTACGAGATTTTACAAGAAAAATTCAAAGCTAAATGTAAACCAACTATCGACCAAAATACTGTGAAAACTCTTATGGAAATGGGTTATTCTCATAAGAAAGTTTTAAAAGCTCTTTGTTTACGAAAGTATGTTGTATGAAAAACTACTATACAATTTGTATTAAATACATGAAATCACTGTGTATATTTATGTAAATAGAATTAGAGGTTATGCGCTGATCATCGTTATAAAATATAATTGCATTAACATACAAAGAAAATAAGAAAACTTATGCTTCAACCCATGTACTCATTAATTCCGCATTTATGAGTCATAACAAGTTAAAAAAAATAAACTTCAAATTTATTATAGATCAAATATAACAGAAGCATTGACGTGGCTAATAGACCATCAAAATGATCCAGATGACGATGATGATAACGATGAGGATTTAGACCTGTTAACTATTGAAAGAGATACCGATAAATATGTTGCAGATCCCAGTTCGTCTACTAGTGCCAGAAAGAAATCTTTAAAAGATACATGTATTGAATTATTTAAAGGAGGTATTGCCCAAGAATGTCTTATTGTATTTTATTTTATATAAACCTTTTAGCAATATATAAATAACGAATTCAATAAACGATTATGCTAAACATTAGAAGTCAGTACTCAACTTCCGTACATACTTGTACCTAAGTAAAATGGCAATTATCATACAGAAAGTCAAAGTTTGAAGAAAGATGGGAACTTAGTCAGTATAGTAGATCTTCTACTAGAAATTTTTCGTCGCTATAAGAAAATGGATTTCAAACCCGATTCTAAAGCGGTACAATTACTTCTGGAAATGGGATTCGAAGAAACAAGTATTATTGATGCACTAAAAATTACTGGAAATGATCAGACTAATGCTGTGAGTAGTGGCACGTTAACTCAATTGAATTTTAAGTTCAATATTTTACTTTTTTCCAGTGTGAATGGTTGCTCGGAGAACGAAGGCGTAGTTTACAGGATTTAGGTGAAGGACTCGATCCTGAGAGTCCAATTTATAAAGCGATTATGAATAGTCCGCGGGTTCAGTTAAGTCTTACGAACCCTAGAATGTTGCTAGGTGAGATTAGTTTTTCTTTTTTTCTTATTAATACGTATAAATTTTACATAATTTTTGTAGTGTATTTATCTATACTGGAGACTCCAACATCTACTGATGTTTGGATTAACGATCCAGAAGTATCACCTGTACTATATCGAATAATTAGAACATATTATACTGAAAAACATGCCATTCACATGAATCGATATCCAACTAATTAATATTGTTTTAAAGGACTGTTAAATATTTAATAAAGATTTTAAATATAAATTTATAGTGGAAGATTTCATAAATTATTACAGTAATAATAATAATTAATTTGTTATTTGTTACTGTCCGTTGGTGGCGCCAGTTTACCTCCTGCGCAACTACTCCATGGTTCAATGTCGCTAGTGGTCGCTAGTATCGACTGGGAGTTTGACAGATATTATTGTAACACGTGATTAATTTATTTTTTTCGCAATAATGGTTTACTATTTTACAAGTGAAGGTATCACTTTATATATTTATCATGACATTTACTCTACATTTATATAGTGTATATATTCAACAGTTTTCTTATTTTATGATATTAATTAATGTGTATAATGATGGACAATAAGGTTAGAGTAATGGTTCATTAAAAATTTCAGTTGTACAGCCACCAGTGACATTATTTATGGGAGTCGATAAATATGAAAGTGAGTTAGAAATATTAGTTAACTATGATGTATAGAAGATGATACTGTATTAATTTACGGTGCTTTAAATGTATGGTTCCATAGATGAAGATCTCATAAAGTGGGGATGGCCAGAGGATGTCTGGTTTCACGTGGATAAATATTCTTCGGCGCATGTATATCTTCGTCTTCATCCGGTAAATATTTTGTATTTTGTTAATAATACTAATGTATGCATAAATTTATGTATAATTTACAGGGTCAAACGATAGACGACATACCGAGTACAGTTTTAGAAGATGCCGCGCAATTAGTAAAAGCGAATAGTATCGATGGTAATAAGATAAACGATGTTGATGTAGTATATACAATGTGGTCCAATTTAAAAAAGACTCAGGGTATGGAAGTAGGTCAAGTTGGTTTTCATAAAGACAAAGATGTTTATAAAATTCATGTTTCCAAACGAATAAACAGTATTGTCAATCGATTAATTAAAACTAAACGTTCGGAACAAGTAAATTTTAGAGCGGAAAGAGAACAACGCGACAGAAACGAACGAGAAGATAAAAAGAAACTTATGAAGGAACAAAAAGAACAGGAGAAAGCAAAAGAGAAGCAAAGAAAAGAGGAAGCAGATATGAGGCAAGTCATACATTTCTTTTATTTATTTGAAGAATTTTAAAAATATGACTGTCTTATACTTTTTTAGGAGTTACAATTCTTTGTTCAATACATCTAATATGATATCGAACACGGAGAATAGCGGATATGATTCGGACGATTTTATGTGATGAAATTGTTTGCGTTATTCGTAATCTGTGCCTAACATACTAACGTATTAATAGTCTTGAAAAATAGAAAATTACGTTTGAAACAGAGAACACTTATGACTTAAAAATTCAAGACTTATACCGCTTTAATGTATGGAATGTGAACTACAAGTACAAATGTACAAGTACAAGTGCAAGTACACTGTTAATTTACTATCTTCATTGATAATCGAAGTTCTTATTAATTAAATTAATTGGAGATGTATGTTTCTGTGAGAATTAATTAAGTATTTATGTATAGTACATTTATAAAAATTAATCTAACCTTTCTTTTTTATAATAATTTAACGTGAACAGCTTCTAAGGCATTGATTATCCACGAAGGATATTCCTTATTTGGATATAAATCTAACATGTACTGTTGTATAAATCTTGGAAAATTTTGTTCTTTGATACTTTGTCTAATATCTCGCATTAATGTCATTTGAAACGCTATATTATGAACGGATAATAAATGACATGCAACTGTTTCTACCGTTGCAATATGATGTAGATAAGCCCGTGTATATGTTTTACATGTACTACATTCACACGACTCATCTATCGGTCTCATGTCGTTGCTATACTGAATGGTCTTTAAGTTGAGTTGTCCGGTACGTACTAATGCACAGCCAAATCTCTAAAAAAGATTTTTACATATAATAGAAAAATTACATATCCATTAATAAATGGCATGGTTAAGTTTATTTATTTTTAATGATTAGTAAATATAAATACCGCAGTTCTTGTGGGAAACACGCAATCGAACATATCTACTCCTAACGCGGAACAAACAATTAAATCAATCGCAAATCCAACACCCATTAAATAACGAGGTTTATCTTTTGGAAGTATATCCGTGGAAAGGTGTACCATTCTCCAAAAGTCGTCTTTACTTTCTCCTCCGCTAATAATAACCATTAAGAAAATAAGTATTATTTTTAACCGATGCTACTTTACGAATTATTACCTTAATCCGCCTATCGCGTAACCATTGACTTCATATTTAATCATTTGATTTGCACATTCCGATCTAAGTTTAGGATCCAGATTTCCTTGTACAATCGGAAATATGCTCTGCTCGTTTGGTCGCTGATGTGCTGCTAAACATCTTTCTAACCACCTAATTGTTCTAAATTTATACATCAAGTAGTAAACATATTTTTAAAAATTTGTAATGTAGTTACTTATATGTCTAACTAAATGATATACACCTGTGCATAGCTTCTTCTACTCTTGGTCCTGTTAATGTAGTTTTAACCACGTCGTCGAGTTGCATCATTATATCTGCACCTATTACATTCTGTATTTGTATAGAGTGTTCAGGCGTCAGCATGCAATCAGATTCTAAGAAATAATATCAGAGAATTGTTGGACTCTACTCAATTTCTTTACATTGTCAAACATGAATTTATTTTTATTATTTCGAAACTTTGACTACCATTGTACGGCGATTTAAACTTTACACCTTCCTCTGTAATTTTAGCAAGTTCTAATAATGATACCATCTGAAAACCACCAGAGTCTGTTAATAAAGCTCTTTTCCAATTCATGAAATTGTGTAATCCCCCAGCTTTTTCTAAAACATCGAGACCCTAGAAAACGATCTTTTATCAGATAAAAACTATGTATTAAAATATTTTTAAATAATCTCAACTTACTGGTCTTGTTCCTAGATGATATGTATTTCCAAGAATAATCTGACAGTCTAGTTGCTCTAATTGTTGAGGAAGTAAACCTTTTAAAGTGCCCTAAAATATTAACTTTGCAGTACATATGTTAAATAACTAATTTATAATTATTCAACTAACTTACTTGTGTTCCTACTGGCATAAATACTGGTGTATCTACGTGATGATGAACGAGACTCATTCTTCCTGTTCTAGCTTTTGTTGTTTGACATTCACTAAATACTTCGAAAAGTAACGGTGGTTTTCCAGAATCTGTCATTTTTTTCAAACTACCAAATTTCTTGGCAGAGGATGCTAACGATATGGTTTTCATTTACATAAAATTGATAAAACGATTAACGCTCACTTAGCCGCTCAGTGAGCGAAATTTAGCACCAGTGGCGTCATCGGTGGGAAAACGCCCAAATTTGTAGTGAAAATGTTTTTTTTACCGACACTATCGGTATATTACCATCATGTCGGTATTTACCATCTAAAAGCGCCATCTAGCGGTGAAAAAAGGAACTATTTTTCGACAAACTTGGGCGTTTTCCTGATAGAGGCACTGACCAAATTCCGAAAATTAGTTCGGCCTCTTCAACGCTAGATGGCCACGATAATGATAGTTGGTTGCGTCATTTGGCAGTAGCAGTGGGAACTATTTTCACTACAAACGTGGGCGATAAATAAATAATAAAATAAACGACTACATAACGACAGTTACAAAATCGATGTTAAATGGCTTATGAAATATTTGCTGTTATAATTTAAAGGAAATTCGTTAGTTGATTGCGGATACTTTAAAGCTTAGGGAATTTTCGTAATACATTAAACATATTTAATTTTGTATTGAATACAAACTGAAGTACTTGCATTATTATTTATTTCATTTGGGCGTATATTATACAGTGAAAATGCTTCACAATCGTAGTTTAGTACATAAAGAACTTATATTTACAAACTTAATACTTGTTAGGGATATTCCTTCTACTGTGTTTTAGGGAATATAACTGTCAAAAAGTGACGTTCTCACTTTCTTACGGTTTAATATTAAAATCAGTGTGAAATCGATTGAAAATAATTTATAAAGTATCAACGATAAATACAAACTTATATTTATTGTTTGTGAAACTATGTTGAAACCAAAAGCTCTTACACAAGTATTGAGTCAAGCCAATACAGGCGGAGTGGAAAACACTTTGTACGTGAACCATGATACATCATTATAAATATTATTCTTTATCAAAATTATTTCTATTATTTTACGTAATATAATATGTTATTCATACCTCTATTATACATCTGTAAAATATCTTTTTATTTAATTAAAAATATTAGTATTTGTAAACATTATTAAATTTCCTTCTTAAATACATGTTTCAGATTATTAAATAGAGATGGTGGTTTATTAGCTTACAGTGGTTACGGAGATAAAGATGCAAGAGTGACTGCTGCAATTACAAGCAATATCTGGTCCGCTTATGAAAAGAATGGACGAAATGCATTTAAAGAGGACGAATTACAATTTGTATTAATGGATTGCGTGGTAATTAACAAATACTTTACTATTATATTAAGCTTATATAAGTTTGTTATGTATCTTTCTACTAGTTTCGTTTTTTATAAAAAAAATTGAAATATTTATGCTATAGGAGGGCAAAGTTGTGATCACAGAAGTAGCAAATTTGCTGTTATGTTTATATGCAAAAGAAAATGTTGGATTCGGTTTATTAAGGGAAAAAGCACAAGCTCTAGCAAGATATCTTGATCAACCTCTAAAAACAATAGCCAATATGCCTTGAACATATACATATAATTGTAATTTTTTGTAAGAATTTATGATTTATACTACTCTGTAAATAATATATTTTTAATAAATAAAAAATTTATTAATTTAAAAATCCATATAATTAACATAATAATCCTAAAAGTTTTTCTTACAATAAGTATTTACTTCCTAAAGAGCAATTATTATTACATTTGTTGGACAGTTGTTTTTTTTTTGGAGTTTAACGCACCTGCCCTAGGATCTGTGTATGCTACTTTGGAAGACACTGCTGTATAATATTTGATATTCATCAAACGGTATTTAATTGTGTAATTATTTGTTTATTTGAAATGAATTACAATTAATACAAACAATTACTTTTGATATATTCTCAAAGAATAATACATATAATACACTATAATCAAAATATGTATTTTAAATGGCTTACACAGAAACTCATTTTGTTTAATGCGCGAAACATTGCAAATTTACACTAACACAAAAAACTGATCGTTCTCTTGATTATGTTCTTACAAAAATTAAATCCTATTTATTTGAAAACAAATTGTACACGATAAAGTATTATTATTTTGTTAACATTAACTTATCGTAAATTACGCTACAGAACCTACTGCATAGTAATTTATATTAAGTGTCCTACGATACAATTAAAATCTGTTTTAAAGCACAATGTAACTAAATAAATAAAACTATGTTAGTATTTATTGATAATCTCATTATAGTGCATTTATATAAAATGACCGAGGAGTTCATATCACTTTTCAACCATGTATTAGTCTTACACAGTATTCTTAATTTTAATAATTCAATTAATATTTCTTTTATTTATTTCATTATTACAAAAGGAACTAAAATGACTTTTTTGTTATCAAAGTGTAAGTTTCGTGTAGGAAAAACTTATTTATACCATTAAAATAGTTACTGCATGTATACTTATTCTTATAAAATTATGAATATAGTTTATATATATAGTTATATTCATGTAATAATTAAAGTAACATATTACTATGCAGGAATAGCAATAGTTATTTATGTAATATTGCAGTGAAAATCATGATTTGGATGAATTTGAATTGTGTCTTATAAATTTAATTATGTAGAAATAGTTGTTTACTTTGTTTATTTTATAATGATAAAGTAAAAACAAATTATATTATTTATCTTTTTCTATTAAAGACAAAAAGTGTAATGAAGCGTGAAAAAAATATAAATTATACAATTCGATATTATTCGTTTTGTATACTAATTGTCAGTGTTAAATATGCATGAGCTGAGTTTAAAACTATTAAACTTGGTTACATATCGTAAAATACAGTCTTGACGAAATACTTATGTAAAATTAAATATTAAATAGACATGTTCACATAATCGTGAACATATATGAATTGAAAAATAATCACAAAATGAGTACACTTTTTCTAAGTGGAATTATTTTCTTTTACCACCACGATAACGATGCTATAAACTCCCATTTATATCACTTATGTTTATACACTTTCTCCTACAATCACTCTTGTATCTAACTTAAAATAATTATCGGTGTTAAAATTTATTTTTAAATATATATAAATACTAGTATCTCCTCTAACAATAAACATTAAACAGTTAATGGATTTAGAAATATATCTATGAAAGTACAAACTCTTTCACATACAGAGAGTTATATCCATATGCTTAATGTGACAATAGTGAACACTAATATCAATTAACTTAATGACGCGAATTTAAATTGCAAAACAATATCATATCATGATATTAATAACACTGTACATTGCAGGGAATTATCAATATTGGTCCTAATTTTCCTGATATTTTTTAGTATGAAAACGAGTGATTATCAGCCAATCGATAAATTTGTATGATTCGTTCTTACCATTAGATTACAAAGTTTTTCACTGTGTGAATTGTAATACATTTTTTTAAAAATAGCGTTTACTTATACCGTGTTAATGTAAAAATGTAATTAGTTAATAGTATCACTGAACTGTTTCACGTTAGTAACTAGAAATAAAGTTTTTCTTGCGAAACTATTATTACATATATTTATATGCAGTATATTAATATATACACATATACATATATGTATATAGATACATACATACATCGTTCTAACAGTACTTATGACGATTTAATACTACGTATAATTTTATTCTCATGAATAATGCTTTTAATTTAATTATGAATATATTGTCTACAACACTTCTTTAATAGGCCTTTAACAATTGACAACCTATGTTAATTTCTGTTGTAAAGTGCTTTCATTTTTGAGACTGCAAACATGTATTGCAAATTTTAACACTTAAACGATAAAAACTTATCCGGAGTATGTGCATTATGGATAAAAGAAAAAAAGAAAGAGAGGATGGTATGGAAAATAATATATCTTTTGACATTGCTTTAAATCTATTACTTTGATTGCATTATAAGAAAGAAACTGTTACATAATAAATATTAGATGAATTTAAAAGAAAAATTACTGTTAAATGGTTTAGAATTTTCTCTTTTATCCTTTGTTTGTTTTACAATTTTACAGTAATAACTTTTGCTATGTCGCAGTCCGACTTGGACTTGTTGTCAGTGACATAGTAAAAGGAATTTCTGCATATAGGATTAAAAATTTTACATTCAAATTTTATTCATTTTATACATCATGTATTATTAAATGATATAATACATTGCTTTTATTGAAAATGATATTCCTTTGTGGTATAACTTTGTATTGGATAATTAAAATTATTATGCAAGATATACAAACATTATCCTATATTTTGTAGCAGCAATGTAAATGTAAGTAATTTTGATAACATTACGACAAAGACATAATTAAGGTAAAAATTATTTTTGTACATTTTGGTACAAAAAGATAAACTGTTTACTACTAGAGATAGTATTTATATTCATTGTAAAAATTTGTATGAAAAAGATTGCCTTCATGAATGCTATTGTCTTTTCAACTATTTAATGAAACTAAAACATAATTTCTATAATAACTAAGTAACAATTTCTTTAACAAATATTGGTAATCATATGTATTAACATTTTTGTTATAGTATGTTCCTTTTTAAAAAGGAGTCGTCGTAATTTATCAATGGGATAGAAAATTTTACTTTAGTATTAAATTTTCTCCATTATTAAAAAATGTATGATCCCATCTCGAATTATTAAAAGCTATCCTTGTCACTGCAATCCGTTTCTATTCTCGTCAAATGGTAAAAAAAAAAATTTATTCATTGGTGTGTGATACTTTCGGTTCTTAAAGCTTCATTTTACGGTGTCACATTATAACTATATATCTACAGAAGGTATTGTACCTTTCCACGTTATCTCGTGTATGTATTACCACCATACAGGAAAAAATGGAGTAATAAAGATTTGCATGAACTTAAACGTGTAAATGTAGAAACAAAAGCAGTCTTCATCTTGTCGCTGCACAGTTGATTTAATTAAACGAAGTAAAGAAAGAAAAGGACGGATTTAGATTTAGAGATTACATGCGAGAACCCTTCTGCTGCAGAACCTAAAAGACAATTTAATGATTGAAACTTAGGATAATCTAGTAAAAACGTTTATGTTAAAAATTATACCATTAAGTTCTATGAAGTTAAAAAACAGATATATTTAATTTATCATACAAAATGGTTAACAAAGTTTATTAATTACTTTAGCATTGTTCAGCCTCTGCATTTGTTATATAAATTTAACTTTAATATAAATTGCATTAAAATATCGTTACAATTTCTATAAATTTATTGTAATATACAGGTAATTTCTAAGTGAATAAAGTGGGAAGAAACTGTGCACCGTGACACCATTATATTATAGATTACTTTGTTTTGATTAATACAAATTTAATCTAGAAATTTGATACCTTGAAAAAGCTTTTGTTATATAATAAATTTTACTCGTAACAAAATGGTGACTTCTTCCAAATAAAAAATGGAAAACATATGAAATAACTCGGTCATGCAATAATGAGTCATGCAGGATATAGGGTAGAAAGTAACCAAACCAATGAAAAAGAAAAAATTCTTTATTCGATGAATAGCATGCGATACAACAATAACAGTACGGTACATATAGCAAATATCAGAGGCGGAACATGCTCATGCGAATTGGCCCCTGAATTGGCACAAACTATAAAAACTGGTATAAAGAGCTTTGATACTTAAATTAAAATTAATTGCCGATCATGTTAAGATATACTTTAACTCGGATTACAAATGTAATACAAGAAAAAATAAAAAAAAAAAATAAAAAAGAAAATACTTATAAGTTTCAGATAAAACAATATAAAATAAATTGTCTAATAAAATGTGAATGTGTACATTTATTATCTACTATAAGGCACTCTTTCATATTATTTTTCATATTATTTGTAATACATTTGTAAAATTGTATGCATAAAAATACAAAAATAAAATATTTACGTTAAAGAAGTGTGACTTATAGAAGATGTCTACCACAATTTTAAACTTTACATGTCTCTAAAATGATCTTTGGTTTCTTAGTAAGTGTTAATTTATTGAAGTACTAACGGTAAAATGGTAACAATTTGTTACTCAATTTATTCTAATGTCTTATTTCATTTAACCCATTCATAACAAGAGAGATTATGGGTTACATTATATTGAAAATTTTACTACGAAATCAGCGATACGCATACCATAATCGTGTTGTGATTATTTTGAAATGTTGCTCGAACCATTGTACCACTGTATATCTTATTGCAAATGGGTTAATGATATTTATAAAAATAAACATAATGATGCAATAAGGTAATACTGATAACACGCCAGAGATTCTTAAACTTTTCTAAATAAATAAACATTGCAATCAACTCAATTTCTTAGACTCAACTATCAATAAGAACCTCTGATATAAGCAAAATATAAACTTAATTTGTAACATTAGTGACGTGATTTTATACTAAAAAATACAATATAATGGAAAAGGTTGTAAAATCAATACTACAGTCTATATAATTACTTAGCGAGACCATGAAAAATTTATGCGTGATTATTTTGATTGAGATTACGATGTGAAAGACTTGAATGCGACAATGATACCTTAACACGATCCGTTGCTTCTTGTTCCTTGCTACTGAGTTGACTG